TTGATAATGGTAGGTATGTAAGATCATTGAAAGAAAGCATTCTTGGACTGTTATCTGCAGGTGGAATGATTGAAGAAGGTGGACTGGAGATAGGAGTCGATTATGATACATTAGAGTTGTTAGAACTGTCACCACTTAGCATGTCTAAAGTGAAGGATACAACAGAAGGTAAAGGACTTAAGCAAGGTGGCGTATAAGATGTTGTACCTGTAGAATAATCAATGTTAGGTTTCAAAAGCCAAGTGTCAAAAATACTAATAGCATGAGATGAATCAGGAGTGAGTGTTGTGGAACAAGAGTTCTTATAAGGAAAAAACAATTCATAAAAAACAACATGTAGAGAAACAAAAAAAATTTCTACTAGTAGGATGAAAACACTTATATCCTTTATATGTATCACTGTAGCCAACAAAAATACATAGAATTGATTTAAGATCAAGCTTATGATGTTGTGTGTCTCATGTATAAGGAAAACATTTAGAACCGAAAACTCTAAATTAATAATACACAGGATGAGTTCCATGCAATAAAAAAAAATAGTTTCAAAATTAATCGTCGATGACAGTAACTGATTGATCAGATAGACAACCATAATGAAAGCTTCTACCCACAGAAATAAGGGAGCACCACAATGAAAAAGCATGGTCCTTCCTAATTCTCAAATAATTCTATGACGTTGTTCAACTATACCTATTTACTTAGGAGTATAAGAACAGGATATTTGATGAACTATCGCTGTTGTCAAAAAATGAGATGTCAATCTAGAATTAAGAAACTCACCTCCACTATCTAAATGAAAAATTTTGATTTGTTTATTGAACTATCTTGCCTAGGGGTGAGCAGTTTTAGGTACCCTGCATTTTTCAGAAAAACCAAAACCAAAACCACACAATGTAGGTTCCCAAAAAAAAGGAACCGAAACCAACAAGTTCTGGTTCTTAAATTCAAGGAATCGAAACCTGAAATGCAGGTTTAGGTTCAAGTTCCGGTTCCTTACCCAAGTACCCTATAAAAAATCAATTACCCCCTATTAGTTTAAAAAATGATAAAAATACCTTAAAAGTTTACAAATACACCCCTAACAAATTAAGAAAACCTACATTTAGTAATTTTTAACTTTTGATTACTCATTCATTTGTGTCCAATGTGACTCATAAATCCTCTAATCTCTAGGCAACACTTGAATTCAATCAATTCATCAAAATTCACATAAAATTTCCTAATTAAAACCAAAACACAAACAGGCTCCAAGCCAGGTACCCGCTTCAGGTTCTTTTCCCAAGTTTCGATTCTAGTTTTGGTTCCGGTTCCTAAACCAGAACCAGAACCTCACAATGTCAGTTCCAATAAAATGGAACCAGAACCTACCCAAACAGTGTCTGTTCTGGGTAGATTCTGATTACGGTTCTACCCGCAGGTTTCGATTCTACTCGTTACCCATGCTCACCCCTAGTCTCGTTCTCACCACATATTTTTCAAAAACTAAATATGCATAAAAAAAAACAGAGGAATAATCCATGTATATTTAGAAAAATCATCTGCTAAACAAGCATAATATTTAAATTTTGCAATAGATAAAACTGGAGCAGGATCCCACAAATCACAATGAATTTTATCAAAGACAACAGTACTTGAATGTGTAGAACAAGAAAACGGTAATTTGCTAAACTTTCCTAATTCACAACTATCACAAAGATGTTAACTTTGATAGCTCCTATAACTTCAATTAACCACTTATTTTTTAATAATTGTAACGCTAAAGATTATGGATGTCTTAAACGTTGATGCTAAATTTCTGCTGAGCCGGATTTAAAACGATGAGAGAAAGCAATTCCGGCGAGTTGGAGAGAACACAAAGATCACCCTTGCATCTCTCTTTTATCATCAGTTGTCTTGTTTCTTGTTCCTTAACACAAAAATCAACATCAAAAAATTCACAATTGACAGGAAATTGAGTAGATAATTGTCTAACATATAGTAAATTCTTAGTTAAATTTGACACTAATAGTACATTTTGAAGAGGTAAAGTAGCCGTATTTTGTTTTATACTTGTATCACCAACTCCAGCAATAGGCAATGAAGATCCGTCTCTAATAATCACTTAATCAAATCCCAAATATTTGTGACTATTAGACAACATACCTGACTTACTAGTTATGTGATTAGAAGCTCCAGTGTTAGATGTCCACCATATATTAAAAACAGCATTGTCTAAGGTAAAAGCTGCAAGAGCTTGAGGAATCTCCTCATTCTAATGACACTTTTTGGGTATCCACCAGCAGATCTTGGTAATATGACCCACTTTCCCATAGTATTGGCATTGCTTTTCACAATATAGATTTCTTTCAGCAGAAGTCATGCAACATTCACCTGGCGGTGGAGGACAACGTTGTTGAGTGGAAAAAGTAGGGTTATCTGTGAAATTCTGATTTTGGTTCCTTGGTTGTTGTGCTTGGAATCCACGTCTAGCGGATGTGAACTGTTGTGAGTTACCATAATATCCTAAGAAAGGATGTTGTGTGCGATGTTGATGTTGGCCATAAAATGTCAAATGAGGAGTGAATTGTGAAGTTGGAACATCTACACAGTTAGGGAACCAACTGTGTCGCTGATCAAAGTTTTGAAGTTGTGAGACCAGTTCAAAGTATGATGGTCGTGGAGGCTTCAGCTTGGTAGTTGTGAAGGTTTCATACTGAGGGTCGAGACTAGTGAGAAGGCAAAAAACTTTGTCTTTGTCAAGAACAGTTTTCCTAATGGTTGCAAGGCTATCACATAGTCTTTTGAAGGTACGAAGGTGTTCCCCAATGGTGTTGTAATCTTCTTTGCGTAGATATGTTACCTGTTGACGTAATGCGAATTCGCATTCTTGCTAATCTTAAGCATATTTGCTTTTGAGTGCTTCCCATAATGCATGGGTTGTGTCTAAGCTGACAACGAGTCCAAGAGTTTCTTCTAAGAGTATTCTAATGATCCACCCACAAAGGAGAAAACCAGAATTTCTCCAAGCAATGAAGTTATCTATTAGTTTTGGTATAAAATTTTCTGCATTTAGAGTGTTGGTTGGATCAGGTGTGGTGTATTTGGTGGGAGTAAGGTTTTCATTAGTGAGATGGCCAACCAATTCTTGGCTTTCTGCAAGAGCCAAGGCTTGTTCACGAACAGGTAAGTCTGATTGTGATGAAGTTGCCAACATTAAGAGATAGTGAAGTCATGGTGGAAGAGAAGAGTGTGTTGTGTTGTGCCGAGTGCTCACAATGGCTCTGATACTAAGAAGAGAATTAAAAAACTATGTGGTTTTGTTCTTTGTTGAATGAAACATATTACACTCTTAACATGAGCATTGTTGATACAATGATTTATATATAAAATAAAGAAATTAACAACTTGCATTATTTACATAAGAACTCTATTGCTGAACAGAATGCACCTGGACTTGAATTTGATCTGATGCGTTATTTTCGAATGTCCAACGGATCCGATAGTGCCGGTGATTCATGCATGATCTTCTCATCTTGTTGGACTATATTTTTGGTTTGAATTCGTTGACCCCAAGTCTTCTTGATCACTCAAATTTTCTCCACAGATTTTGAGATCATTGCAAGGATTTTCATCCTTATCACTCCAAGATTTCTCCATTGATTTTGAGATCACTGTGAGGATTTTCATCCTTATCACTCCAAGATTTCTGGGACTCCTTATCACTCCTTTGATCCGCAACGATTTTGGTGCCAAGCTGTAAGATATTGCTAATAAAATAAAGCTCATTCAATCTTGGCAATGTCCATGTTCAAGTCTCTACCATGACAGGGTCTTTGGTAGAGCTATGACTCAAACCGACTTGTGAGTTGGTCGAGCTGGAGCTTGAGCTACTTGAGTTCCAGTTCGAGTTGAGCCCGAGTCACCCATTACTTGGCTGGAGTGGCTCGCAAGCCTATAAGAGCTCAAAAGGGAGGTTTATGCAACTATGAGGGAGGTTTATGTAATTTTTCATTTTCCCAAATGTAAAATCCAAATTCTATCGATTGAACCTTAAACGCAATTCAATTTCAATTCTCAAATCGCGACAGACAAACCCTTTCTCGATTCACCGCAATCATTGTGACTCCAATAATTGAGATTCTTAACTGAATTCGCAGACCCGATGACGCATGTCCTTCAATTTTTGCGTCCTCTCTTTTTCCTTCTCTTGATTCCCGAACTCTACATGTTGTGTATTTGTTGTATATTACTATATTTGTTGTTTATTTGTTGTAAGATTGCTATTTGTTCTTAAAGTAAAGATTGATTACTGGAAAAGAGATATTTTTATGTTTGAAAAAAGGCCATACTCAACTGCTCACCACCCGTTTGGAAAAAGGCCTTACGTGTTCTTAAAGTAATGAGATAAGATTTTTATAATTAATATAAAAATTATGATTTTTTCTATCAAGTTCAAGCTCGAGCCCCATTTTTTCTATCGAGCTCAAGCTCCACAACTAGAGTTCGATCGAGCTCGTGCTATTCCTATTTGTGACGAGTCAAGCTCAAGCTTCTGAAAGCTCAACTCGGCTCAGCTCGATAACACCCTTACTCTTTGGGGGCAGGATGGCATAGGGGGTTCAAAATCATTTATCAAACAAACATAATTTGGTATGAAACAAAAGTTTATAATAAATGGGGAAGTTGGATTTGTAGTTTAGAGTTTATGGTCAATAAAAATATAAAATAAAAATGTACAAAAAAGAAATGTTATTTCTGATAATGATTTTCTATTTAAAGGTAAAATTGTCCAAACAATAAAATTCTAGGGGTGGTTAAATAGGAGCCACTAAAATAAAAGGTGTGTCTAAAAATCATTTTCCATAACAAAATTCAAAAGACAAAAATTGAAAGTGTAAAGCAGCCTCAAGTATGTATGTGTTTTGTCGTCTTGGGCAAGCCCAAGCCCAATTCACAGCCCAAACCAAAAGCCTATCACAAAGACCTTAAACAAAAAAAAAAAAAAAGATAGATACCCTATGTACCTTACGAAAACCCTCATCTTCATTCTTCTCTCCAAAACCCTCGTTTCAATCTCACTCTGTGCAACAAACAATGGCTCAAACCCTAACACGCGCTATCACCGCCCTCTCCACGCGCCACTCCAAAGTCACTTTCTTACTTTCCAAGCGCCTCCACTCCACTGTTACCATCACCGCTCCTCCGCCCCTTCCTTCTCTCCTCTTCAGCCGTCGCTCTCTCGCTCCTCTCGCCCACGCTGTCCAAAGAATCTCACCCTCCACATGCTTCTCCCAAATACGATGCCGTGTCAACCGCTCCGGAAGCTCCGCCTACTCGCCTCTCAACTCCGGTTCCAACTTTAGCGACCGGCCTCCCACTGAAATGGCGCCGCTGTTTCCGGGCTGTGACTACGAGCACTGGCTGATTGTGATGGACAAGCCCGGTGGTGAAGGCGCAACTAAACAGCAGATGGTTGATTGTTACATTCAAACCCTAGCTAAAGTTCTTGGAAGGTAATGGTTGAATTTTATTACTCCAAAGATTGGGGATGTTACTCGTTTCATTTTTTTTTTTTTTTTTTTTTTGGTCCGTTTTATGTTTGATTACATACTTGTTTGCGTATCAGTGAAGAGGAAGCAAAGAAGAAGATCTACAATGTTTCATGCGAAAGATATTTTGGATTTGGCTGTGAGATTGATGAGGAGACCTCAAATAAGCTTGAAGGTATATTTGAATTTGCTCCAGTTCATCTGGTGATTTTTTTATTTTATTTTATTTTATTTTTTTTATGTTTTGTTGCTTATTTAACGTATTGATTATTAAACCTGTAAATGTATTTGATTTGTTTGTAAACAGGCTTGCCTGGTGTCCTGTTTGTGCTTCCGGACTCTTACGTTGATCCTGAAAACAAAGATTATGGCGGTAAGATAATTTGAGATTTACTCTTTGCTGATGTTGTTTTATTATAACTTTGCTCATTTTGCATCTAAATTAGTATTTTTATGTGTAGTTGAAAGGTTTTATGAATTGCATACATATGATGATGGTGGTTTGTTAAATGTTCGTACGGAAATGATTAAGTCCATCTTGGCAAAGCTAAGGAGTCTTAGCAGACAATGTTTGGCTTTGAATGCTAATGGACTTAAATCAAATATCCCTCTTGACTGTTCTGTGCTTTCTGTATTTCATGGAGCTGTTGATCAGAAGGGGAGAAACATGATGTTGCATATAGATTACGTTATACTATTCTCTCTTTCTTGCTATTTATCCATCTGTAATTGGGATAGAAGATGAGTTCTGCAGTCTCCCTATAATTGACAATCATGTTTAAAAGATAAATCCAACAATGGTGTTTTGACGCTTCAATTGAAATAATTTGTCACTGATGACAGTGTATGCACATTTCATTTAAAGTCCATCTTGGCAAAGCTAAATAGTCTTATCGAACAATGTTTAGCTTTGAATGCTAATGGACTTAAATCAAATATCTCTCTTAATTGTTCTGTACTTCCTATATTTCATGGAGCTGTAGATCAGTAGAGATGAAAAATGATATATGGTATTTGAATCATACACTGACCGATACGGAAATCTTTTCAGTGACATAAACCACACACTCACTGATACGTAAATTTTTTCAGTGAGATAACCTATACACATACCACTGTCCCATGCTGACACTATGAAGATAATTATAAAAAACTTAATTTTGTGCTTATCAATTGCAAGGGTTGAAGTGCTAATTATTTTCGAATAACATGCAGTGTCAAATAACTTGTATTGTTCTTTTTTCATCCCAGTCCATCTTGGCAAAGCTAATAGCCTCAAATGGGTGATGCCTGGCTTTGAATGCTAATGGACTAATATCAAATTTCCCTCATTGTTTATTCTGTGCTTTACATGTAGAGTTTCAGAATCCTTGGAGATGATACATATATTTTGACTGTGTTCAGCGAAATTCTTGTTTAGGCATCAATCATTAAACATCAAACTGCAAGTTGCCCAAATTTTTTTCAGCATGATACCTGAGTTTTCTTTTGTTTAGCTTTCTATGTATCATTAAAACGTTGAAATATTTAAATCTTCAATTTGGAAGAGGTTTGAGTTCTTATTTTTTTCAGCATGATACCTGAGTTTTCTTTTGTTTAGCTTTCTATGTATCATTAAAACGTTGAAATGTTTATATCTTTAATTCGGAAGAGGTTTGAGTTCTTATTTTGTTGCACTGCTTCTAGTATGCTTAAAATGTGATCACAAGGTGGTATATTTTGTCTGGTTTGTTCAGGTGTTACTTTCACGATTATGATTTTCATGTCTGCCTACTTGTGTTGCAGCTGAGTTGTTTGTGAATGGAGAGATAGTTCAAAGATCACCTGACAGACAGAGGAGGGTGGAACCACAGCCCCAGAGAGCACAGGACAGACCAAGATACAATGACAGAACCCGATATGTGCGTCGCAGAGAAAACATGCGTTGAAACACAAAATAGGGAAGCTGGCTGTATAGAGTAATCTTGGAGTTGGAGGCAACAAGGGAGTGGGAGCTTTTCTATTGGGTTTATGGTTGAGAGAAGACTTAATCCTTTCCAGGAGTTGAACTTTAAATATGGATTAATTATTTAATGTTTGTGGTTTGAACACTATCGGATGCTATCTTGCTGAACTCTTCTGAGGTTATTGTTAAACATGTCATTTGGGATGCCTGAATGGGTATTTTGATAAATGATCAACTACTATTTGCTAGTTTGTTGGCTCTTGATGCTGTAGTGCAACTGGATTGATATTAATATAATCAGTTAGAAACTTCAGTAGTAATTTGGAATGTTCATCAATAACTTTTACTTCACCATTTTAAAATCTTTAAGAATAATTGACATTAACAAATATGAAGGGGGAGAAGAGAAATAAAAATTCAGGCTACGAATTTCTTATTGTGAGCAATTCTATGAATTTATCATTAACTGAAGATTTTTCTTTTAACTCTTTACCAAATTATTTATAGGATTTTTCAATCTACTTATTCTAATGAGCTTTTAATTCAGACGATTATATTTTAAATTAACAATACTAATAGGTATATAATCCTGAGTGAAACTTATATGTTAGAGCATCTTTAAGTACTCTTTATTTTAAATAACATCTTTTATATAAATAAGAGCATATTTAATGGTGTTCTTTATTTTAAAGAGTATATTTTAAAAAATAAAGAACATTTTTATTAATTTTTAAATATAAAGAACAAAATTTTATTCAAATCCAATAGATTCTCTAGATGTGGAAAGTAGGAGTGGAAAAAAAATCGAAAACCGTACCGAATCGTAAAACCAGACCGAAACCAGTCCGAAAATTCGGTTTTTTTCCGGTTTCGGTTTGCCATATTTTGTAAACCGAATATTCAGTTTGGTTTCGGTTTTTTGAAATAACAAAAATGGTTAACCGAACAGGATTTTTAAACCGGTTTAATGAATAAAAAAATAATTTTATATTTTGCGCATTTTTAAAAAAAATTATCCCTAGGTCTTCACTAATGTAATTTTAAATTATTAATACTTGATGTACATTAAATTATATGAATTCAAATTATTCAATTACAATAGATATAACTTTAATTCAAGTTAAAAAAAAAAAACCTCGAAAAGAAAAAATGGGTCAAAGTGGAGGGTTTGACCGAATTGGGCCGAACAAATGTAGTCTATCATAATTAATCGGTTAACCGAACTGAATTGGATAAATTTTTTATAATAAAGAGTTTAAGTCATATAAAAAGTCATTTGAAGATGTTCTTATTTACGTAAATTTAGCAAATCCACGTAAAACCAAAATATAAATGATTTATTTGAGTTTTTAAGTATTTTATAATACATTTCTTTATTAAATGTTAAAACAAATTTGACTTTGCCCCATATGTAAACAGGAGTGGGTGAGTTCGGGTACCAGCCTTTTTTTCAAGGAATTGGAACCAGTCGGTTCTGGTTTCTTAATAACTGGTTCACGTTCCAGTTTCGGTCTCGGATACTCGAGAAAATTACGAAATGGTTTTCAAAATGACAAATAAACCCTTGAAAATTACAAATACACCTTTGTCTGTTTACAGAAATTACAAATATACTCTGCAATCAGATTACAAAAATAACAAATGTTCCGACTTGCAAGTGTTGTTCCCGAAATTAGAATTACATAACATTTGAAATATAAAAATTGAGGCCTGACTTCCTATTTATTTACTTTTACCCAATCATATCACTTTTGAATTAAATAATTTTAATTGCTAATTGTCTATATTTTACATTATATTATATTATATGTTCAGTGGTTTTTTTTTTTTGGAAAAAAAATTGCATACTTTTTAAATTTATTTGTTGAATTTCGAAGCATACATTAAAAATTACATAATGGAACTGTGTAAAACTCAGTTCAGGGAAGAAACCTTTTTCTTTTTTTAATTTATTTTAATATTCTATCTAGGAAAAAAAAAAAATGTGGTGTTAAATTGTAAATAAAAGCATATGACATGTCAAGCAACCGAGTGCAAAGTATCTACAGAAGTGACCGACGGGTAACAATAGCACAAAGCCTTTCTCTTAGCAGATATCTGTCTTTGCAGTTGTAGGTTTCGTCTGTCCTTTCATCGTTCATTTGGAAACTGGAGAGTCTCAGTGCATCTCTTCATTGGCATTTACGAGGTACTACTTTACTTGCAGTAACTCTTTCTTTATTTATTTTCAATTCCATATTCTTCAATACACGTCTGTATAAGTATTCATCAACGTATAGGAGCTGATTTTTGTGATTGCTTTTAGAAAATTTTTATTTTAATTTTTCCGCCTGCTGAGTTTTTTCTGTTTCGTTTCCTGGAAAATGGAGCAAGATAAAGTATAAAGAAAAAAAAAAAAAACAATTTTCTATGTGGTACTGAATAGAAGTAAAATTTGAAGTTAAGGATGAGTTTTGTGATCGTATTTAGTTTTCCTTGGGTGAGTTGTATGAGTCCCTTATGTTGAAAATCTGGATAAGTCTCTTAACAATAAGGTTTAGGTTGTAATATGTAGTTTCTTAGTGGATGTAGTAATTTAGCAAATAATTTGTAGTATAAAATGTATTATGGATTCTTGAAACTTCTAAGTAATTGAGTTTGTTGGATTCAATATTGTTCAAATTAGAGTAGATCAGATAACCCTAGGTTTCTAATCAAGCAAGAACACAACAATCAATTATGAGTAATCAAAGAACATAAAGAGAAATAGAGAACACACACAGATTTACAGTGGTTCGGTAATCAAATGTGATTACCTACATCCACTCTTCAGGGCAGTAAAGAAATTGCACTAACAGTAGAAATCTTACAGAGTTTAATTGCTCCTGTTTACATGAAGATCTCCAGGAAAACCCCTCTGTGATACACCCGAAAAAGACCCAAATATGCCTCACCTCTCATACATTTAAAAGCCAAAAAATCAACAGCCATTTATACACAAAGAAAGGAATAAAAGAGTAACAAACTAGACTCACCATCACCGTTTGATTTTATCCAGCGATCTTCAAAGCTCCAACTCAACCATTTTTGTAACAACCTTTCTCTCTCTGTAACCAAGAGAGAATAATCGCGAAAGAACAAAAATGGGCAGAAGCAATTAGGTCTAACAAGAATCCCAATTGGGAAATTCCAGAAATGTCCCTGCCTGTCTCCAAAAATGGCCTTTGACCAAACATATTAGAGGTTGACCTTCCACATAGGCACAAAACAGGTGCCACATCACCACAGAGTTTTTCAAAATTTTGATACAATGGCCATGACATGAATACATAATAGGAGTGTAGTGCACTATTGTTTATTTTTGTTGTCTTGAATTTATTATTATTGACTGTGAAAGTTGGACTCAGGTCCACTAGTTTGACATACATACAATAAATATACTATTATATCAAACTATTATGATGGTGTTAAAGATTATGATTTCGCCCTTTTCCTGCCTGTTACCTGATTTCACTGTTTTGACTATCTTCTTCGATGTTGCATTCAGAGAGGCTGCAAAATTGTTAAAAACAGGTAGATCGCTTGCTAAAGGGATTGATACTCGTGACCAAAGGCACCTCTCTTTCCCTGTGGGTGCAGTGATATTCAGACAGAGGCAGTCTGTAAAAATTCAAGGCTTTATTGGCAAATCTCTGTGTTAAACTGTCCTCCTTCGCTTTTGTCTTTAATGCTTTCTATGCTTGACTATTAATAGTTGGTGCACTGGCCAAGATGAGTAGATCTGGTCGTAAAAAAGAAAAACATGGAAGAAGTGGTGACCTTTCCTTAGATAACTGCAATGATGGAACTGCTGCTCGAACAAGGCCTCTCAGTTTTGATGAGATAATAATTATGAGGAAAAACAAGAAATCGCCTGAAGAAGTTAAAGAGGGAGCTACAGGAGCAGGGAATATATCAGGAGATTGTACTATTGAGAATGTTTCTAATCATCGTGAATCTGAAAGGCATCACAGACACAATAAAGATTCTTCCCATGGTGTTGACAAGCACTTGTCACGGGAATTTGTGAAGCTCGGTTCCCGGGGAAAAGAAGATGGCATTCCCCCTAATGATAGCAACTCAGTGAGAAGGAGAGAGAGAGAAAGCCGTGAATCAGAAAACAAACTTAGGGATGACAGTTTAGCTAAACCTAAACATAGAGAAACTCTTCGATCAGAAATCAGATTGAAGGATGGGAGTCTAGCGAAGGAAAACAATAGTGGAGAAAGTCGTAGATCAGAAATCAAGTTGAAGGCTGAAATGAAAGAGAAATTCACCAAAGATAAAGGCAAGGTTGACACAAAAATTCTTGGCCTGGGAAAAATTTATGAGCAGTTGAGTGAAAATTCCAAAGATGAAGCTATAAAGAAGCATTCAAGAGATTTAACAGGAAAGAATAGACATGAGGGCAGAAGTGAAGAGAAGTCTGAAAGAGAAAGCAAGAGAAAACATCGAAGTGGAGATGATGAGAAAAATGGAGATAGAAATGCTGTGAAGAAACAGGAGCTAGGTAAACGGCGTGATTCAGATAATTCAGAGAGAAAGGAAAGGAAGGAATCTCCAAAATCTCGTTATGGGGAATCAAGGTTGAAAAGGAGGCGATCAAGGAGTCGAGAGCGTGAGGAAAGAAATAGACGGTCTATTTCTGTCTCACCAAAGGCACATAAACATACATCTTATCATGGACGAGAGCATGAAGAACTCTCTGCACATTCTTCTAAAGGCAGGTCTGAAAGACATCATTCTGATATTGACAGGAGCAAAGGAACCAGTAATGGATCGAATAGTCACTATAGGCGGCATGGTGGATCCACAAGTGGCCTTGGTGGTTATTCGCCGAGGAAGAGAAGAACCGACGCTGCTGTTAAGACTCCCTCCCCCATTAATCGCTCACCAGAAAAGAAAAGTGCCAAGTGGGATGTCGCACCAACAGAAACAAACACTATTTCTGATTCAGTTCCATCTACTTTCCAGATGTCAAACCAAAATGCATCTTCAAATGAACATGAAGTGGTCAGAGCTACTCCTGTCACTTCAACTGCAGTGAAGCCTCTCGATGTGGCTTCAGTTACTGCTTCTTTGACAAAGCAAAATATCTCCATTGACTCTCTTCAGCTAACACAAGCTACCCGGCCTTTGAGGAGCCTTTATGTAGATAATGTACCAGCTTCAGTCTCTGAGAAAGCTGTGATCGAATTTCTTAATAATTTCTTGCTTTCATCTGGTGTTAATCAGACTCGTGGATCACAACCTTGTATTAGCTGTGTTGTAAGTGTTGAATATATTATTTGAGGATGTACTTGTTATTTTTGAAATGTACATTATTACACATTGCAATCTGATTTGGCTCATAATCTTTCTAATCCCTGATACAGAAAGACAAAGGTCAAGCTCTTATAGAATTTCTTACACCTGAGGATGCTACAGCAGCACTTTCTTGTGACGGCAGTTCCTTCTTTGGCTCCATACTCAAAATCAGGCGCCCCAAAGACTTTGTTGAAGTTGCAGTAAGAATGATAATTTTTATCAACTTATTATTCTTCTATTTTTTTTTTTTTTTTTTTGGGTTTTACTGGCTCAATACCCATTCTCTTTTTTCTATTTTTTGTTTGATAAGAAGCAAGACACCATTTTGATTTATTCTTGTGCATTATCGAATTTGATTACATTTTACACATAAATATATTTGGGGGGGCCATATGGTGACAAATTGATTTAAGCTGTCAGCAATAGTTTCTGTAGTTATCTGTTTGATTGCTTGTAATTATTGCACATACATATACCTGTTATCTCTTTGAATTAATTAAGAAGTTGCTCTTTTTTTTTTTTCGGTTGGGAGGGCAGGGGAACTTAACAGATTTTCGCTCACCTTTGAAAGTGATCTAGATAAAGTTGGGGTTTGTCACATTATTAATAGGCCTTTTTGTTGTTAATTACTGTTGGATAGTACTGTCACAGGCATAATGAGGTGCAGGTCCGTACCAAAACTTATTTTAATGGGTTCAAGGAATCAAAAAGCAGTATAAAAAGCCTAGTTCACCTTTAATTTACCAAAGGGTGGTGCTCTGGTGGCAAAGCCAAGCTCAACCTAAGCTACAGAATTGTTGGAATGGGCTATAAGGCAAGGCTTTGAAATTAAATATTCTAAACTGAGCTAGATAGACTTGCCTGCACTGCAGGAACAGTGGCAGTGTGAAGAAAAAACCATTAGTGTACTAATCACGCTATCTTTGACATTTAACTTAGCAAAAAGATAAAATATTCAATATATGCTCCTGTAGTTCATGCACTTTATAGTGAAATATGCTGCCTGGTCTGTCTGTTTGGTGCATGAGTAAAAAGCATATGTTATAAATTTCATTTATTTATGTTTGATTTTATTGTGCTTCGTACTAATCCCACTAAAATCTTTTTTCGTTAAAATCTCTTTTATAGATAGAGTTTGTGGTAGAAAGTATAGTTGATAACACAATCTAACTATAATTTAGATGGAACTAATAATGCTAAGCAAGTATCTTTATGTCACTTTGATGCAACCATCAATTAGAAACGTGGCCTTCATCCATTATTGTGATTTTTCCTTTGATCAGCTTTCAAGTGGAAGTGGTGATGTAGGACAACCTAGAGATATTAGGGATCTATTGTAATCTCTAGGTTTTGTTTTTATTTCTTTCCAGGTTTAAATAAAATAAAACTTTCTTGTTTGTGTTGATCATCTCTCCTATTAGGGGGAGATTTTATTTCCTCCTATAATGTTATTTTATTTACTACTTATTTGTTTCATTTATCTAATTTATGATTTGGCTCTATAAATGAAGGCCAAAATTATTATTGTAGGATGATTTGAAAATATGAAATGATAATAACTATGCTTCCTCCCCCAATTTCTATCTTCTCCCCCCTTCCTTCAAAGTTCTTCCTCCCTCCCCAGCGGCGGCCCCCAACGACCCCCCCTCCCCCTTTTTTTTGTCTTCTTATTAGTTCTCACCTTTCTTGCTTTCTCTCCCTCAAGTCTATCCTTTCTGTGAAGAAATATTTTCTTGTATATTCATAATGAGATGTACAATAAATTTATAGCAAAAACAAAAAACGAATCTAGGAAGAAGATAATTACATTCCTAATATAATTGATCTGATTCCTAACCTAATGTAGAGAATAATCTTATTTCCTATTTTACACTTCATCCCCTATTTTACACTTCAACACTCCCCCTCAAGCTGGAGCATATAAGTCATATGCACCAAGCTTGTTACAAATAAAATCAACACGAGAACCCTTGAGAGACTTAGTGAGGATGTCTGCTAACTGGTCGTTGGAACTGACATAACTAGTTGCAATATCCCCTGATAGAACTTTCTCTCGAACAAAGTGACAATCTATCTCTACGTGTTTAGTCCTCTCATGAAACACTGGATTTGAAGCAATATGAAGGGTAGCCTGGTTATCACAGAGTAACTTCATTTGTGATACTTCGACAAATCTCAACTCTTGAATTAGTTGTTTTAACCAAACAAGCTCACAAGTGGCCACGGCCACTGCACGATACTCTGCTTCAACGCTTGACCTTGCAACAACCGCTTGTTTCTTACTTTTCCATGAAACTAGGTTTCCTCTAACAAGGACACAAAAACCTGAGGTAGAACGTCTAATAGATGGAGATCCTGCCCAATCAGCATCTGAATATCCGATAATATGTGAATGGCCCTTATTTTCATACAGTAAGCCTCTACCTGGTGCTCCCTTGATATACCTTAAAATCCGAACAACTGCATCCCAATGACTATCACATGGAGTTTGAAGGAACTGACTTACAACACTGACAAAAAAGGAAATATCAGGTCGGGTGATAGTAAGATAGTTACGTTTTCCAACAAGTCTTTGATACCTTCCAGGATCAGCAAGAGGCTCCCCTGTCCAGGTGAGAGTTTCAAATTAGGATCCATAGGACAATCTATTTGTCTGCAATCTGACATCCTTGTTTCCTCTAGAATATCCAGTGCATACTTCCTCTGAGATATAACAATATTAGATTTGGACTGAGCGACTTTTATGCCAAGAAAGTATTTGAGTAGCCCTAAGTCTTTCGTCTAAAAGTGTTTGAACCAGTGTTGCTTCAACTATCCAATGCCATCTTGATCACTCCTTGTAATGACAATATCATCGACATAGACAACCAGATAGATACATTGCTCTGGTGATGTATGTCTGTAGAAAACAGAGTGATCAGACTCACATCGAATCATACCAAACTCTTGAATAACTGTACTAAATCGTCCAAACCAAGCACGAGGAGATTGTTTGAGGTCATATAGAGAACAACGAAGTTTACATACCAAACCAGACTCCCCTTGAGCAACAAAACCAGGAGGTTGCTCCATATAAATATCTTCCTGAAGTTCACCATGAAGAAAAACATTCTTAATATCCAATTGATGCATAGGCCAGTGTCGAATGACAGCCATAGCAAATAACAACCGGACGAAAGACATCTTAGCAACAGGGAAAAAAGTGTCAAAATAATCTGTCTCATAGATCTGAGTGTATCCTTTGGCCACTAAACGAGCTTTCAGCCGATCAACCTTACCATCTGGACCAACCTTGACAGTATAAATCCACTGACAACCAACAGTCGAATGACCAGGAGGTAAGGAAACTAACTCCCAAGTATGATTATGATGCAAAGCCGACATTTCATCAACTATTGTCTGACGCCACCCAGGGTGAGAAAGTGCCTCATGAACAGTGCAAGGAACAGAAACAGAAGATAGGGTGGATACAAAGGCATAATATGAAGGATATAAACGACGATAACTCAAAAAATTGTAGATGGGATGAGGGTTGCGTGTAGACCGCATACCTTTACGAATAGCAATGGGAAACTGATCTGCTGGAGACAGGACCGTGGCATTGGAGGAATTGGGCACAGGACCTGCAGTGACATGGATCTTAGGAACGGTAGCGGGAATATCAGGATCACCTGTAAAAGGAACAAGACTATTGTCGACAGGAAGAGTGGTATTAGTAGTAGACTGAGGTATCGAAACAGATGAAGGTGGGATGGCAACATATGGAATTGGTAGAACATCTACTATCGGATCAGACTCCACTGGAGGATGAGGAAAAAATTGAGAAGACTCAAAGAACGTAACATCAGCAGAGATGAAGTAGCGATGTGTGGTGGGAGAATAACACTTGTAGCCCTTCTGAAGACGTGAATACCCTAAGAAAATACATTTCATTGACTTGGCTGACAATTTATCCTAACCAGGAGAAAAAATGTCAACAAAACAGGTGCTCCCAAAGACACGCGGGGGAAGAGAAAATAATGGAGTATCAGGGAATAATATGGAGTGTGGAACCTGGTCTTGTAAGACAAAAGAAGGCATGCGATTTATTAAGTAATAGGCGGTTAGAACTGCGTCAGCCCAAAACCGGAAAGGGACGTGGCTATGTAAAAGAAGAGTGCGAGCAGTTTCAATGAGGTGTCTATTTTTACGCTGAGCAATGCCATTCTGTTGGGGACTATAAGCACAAGAAGACTGCTGAAGAATTCCCTGAGATGTCATGAATTTGGTAAAGGAATCAAAGAAATATTCACGAGCATTATCACTTCGTAATTTACGAATGGTAGTATTATGTTGAGTCTTAATTTCAGCACAAAATGATGAAAATATGGAAAATAATTCAGAACGAGAGCGCATAAGAAATAACCGAGTGCACCGGGAATAGTCATCAATAAATGTAACAAAATATTTAAATCCCAAAGTAGAGTTAACACGACAAGGACCCCACACATCTGAATGCACTAACTCAAAGGGGGACGCAGCCCGTTAATTGACACGCTTTGGAAAAGAACTATGAGTATGTTTTCCAAGCTGACACGACTCACAACTCAAGGACGATAATTTAGATAGACTTGGGATCATTGTCTGAAGTTTGGAAAGACTAGGATGGCCCAAACGATTATGAAGGAGACTCGGAGACAATGCATGCTGTAGATGGGATATGGAGATGATAGAGACCCTGTGACTCACGTCCTGTGCCAATCATCCGTCCCGTGTCGCGATCTTGTATAACAACAGAGTTAGTATCAAAACGATTAGAGCAATTTAAGGAGCAGGTAAGTTTACTGACAGACACGAGATTAAATGGACATTTGGGAATATAAAGTACAAAGTCTAATGCTAAGGAAGGGAGGGGTTTTGCACATCCAATAGTTTGAACATCGGCTTTAGACCCATTGGCTAAAGCAACAGGAGGTAAAGATACAGTATTTGTAATCTGAGTAAGTAAACGAGGGTTACCAGAAATATGATCCAAGGCACCTGAATCTAGGATCCAAGGTCCTAAAGCGGAAGACTGAGAAAGGCAAGCAACTGAATTACCCGTTTGAGCAACGGAGGCAATGGTTGAAGAAGACTGCTTACTGGCCTGATACTGTAAGTATTCATCATAATCAGTGCCTGTGAAAGTTAAGGATTGCTGAGTTGGCACTGTAGAGGACTTAGAATGAAGCTCAGAGTGATTAGCCTGAGCAATATTAGCAGCTCGAGTAGGTTGACCATGTAACTTAAAACAGTTCTCTCTGGTATGCCCCCACCGATGACAGTAACTACACTTGGGCCGATTTTCTCTGCCACTTCGATCGCCCTGTTCTCGAAAAGTGTGGGACTGAGAAACAAGGACTGAAGAGTCACATGGGGAATGCACAGTGGTAGGGGAGGAAACCCGAAGTAATCTGGCAAACACTTCATCAAGGGAAGGCACGGTGGATCCAAAAAGAATTTGATCTCGAACATGTGTAAGATTTTGACCTAAAGCTGCAAGTGTTAGTTATTCTCCTCAGCTAAGAAAAACTTGATTCCTGGCAAGTAGACTGGAGAAGTAGCTCAATCAAGCGAATGTTGCCAATTAGACGAGAAAAAACCAAAATTGATCTTGAATGGTCATTTGAAAGAGATTACTTCATGTAAAATCTTGAAATTGCATTCTAAATTAAGTTAAGAGAGTTACATTTAATAGAAAGTCAAGGGGTTTTATTTATTTATTTATTTATTAATATTCAAAGCAAATTGAGATTGGGCTTTGATATCAAATGATGGGGATTAGGAAAGCTAGAGTAAAGCAAGAAAAGGAAGAAATAATAGAAAAGATAGACTTGAGGGAGAGAAAGCAAGAAAGGGGGAAGTAATAGAAGAATAGAAAGACTGAAAAGGAAGGGAAGAAGATAGAAATTGGGAGAGAGGCATCTTTATCATCAATTTATATTTTAAAATCATCCTACAATAATAATTTTGGCCTTATTAATAACATTAGGAAACAAATAAATAGTAAATGAAATAACCCTAAAGGAGGAAATAAAATCTCCCCCTAATAGGAAAGAAGATCAACCCAAACAAGGAAGTCTTCGTTTATCTAAACTTGGAAAGAAAATAAAAACAAATCCTAGAGATTACAATAGATCTCTAATATCTCTAGGTTGTCCTACATCAAGTGGTCTACAATATGGTTTTGATTGACTCATGTAGTATTTTTTAGGTGGGAGCTGTATATAGACTGTTTGCAAAAGATTACTGGCAATACCTAAAGTTAAATTAAAATTGAGAGAAATGATATCCATTGATAGGATTAGTTGATTAACAAGGTTATAATGTTAATTGTCACATTACTTTTATTGATGGCCTTTTCCTCTTACCCTCTCTTCTTTTTCAAGTTTTTGAGCTCTAAAATTTATTACAAATTTGAATTTCATGAGACAACTTTTTGATTCTAAAATTATGTTATATACAATTGTAATTTTTTGAGATTTCTGGTTAGAATCTTCGGAAGTCATTTCGAGGCTTTGACTGATTGGATCTTGAAAATGTTTTAATCAATTGTAGAGTCTAGCCACATATGTTTGACCACCCTCTTCCAGAAGTCCTTGTTATGCTAGGGCAATTTCAGCATTTTGAAAGTCGAAAACAGTTTATGTATTGAAGCTTACAAACTTCATTTTGTTCTGAACGTTCTTGGTTGCTTGGGTGATGGATTTCAACTCTGAGTCCGTCTACTTACATGTTTGAAATTGTAGAATATGGAAGTGGCTTGGTTATAGTCCTCAAATTTAGAAGCCAATCTTGATTGATTCTCAAACTTCAAGCTGGGATCTTTTGCTGGTAGCTTAATAAGCTTTCTACTGCACATAGAATAATCTGTTTGTCCCGCTATGTGAGATGTTTCTGACTGGCATGTTGGAATCTCTTAAATAGGGTGTTTATGTTGGGTGTGTCGTAATTCACGTCTGGATGGTGATGAAGCTGTATCCTAAATAAGAAGATTCCCTGGTGTAATGACAAATTTGATGCACTTCAAGCTTATTTTCTAGCAATGATTTTGGGTCATTGATCTAGGCTATTCAACAGTAACTTTTTAAAATGATATGTGGTACAGTATCTGCTTTATTTGATGTTGAACTTTTAAATTGATCTTGAGAGGTTTTTTTTTTTTTTTTTAATGACTGTTGATTCTTTGGCTGTTGTCTGAATGCCAATGTTTTTTATTATATGATTCAATATTTGCTGAACAGATATAACAATTACTATTTTGCATTCATTATTTATCCTGTTGACACTTGCATGTGGTTGCTCCAACTTTTTTAAAGTTAACCCCCATCCTTAAATATCTTTAATATTAGGTTTTCTAAGGATGTCTTTTCTGTGTGTTGATCTCTTGTCAGAAGGCTATGTATTACAGTTTTTCTGCTTAGCATGTTTATATAAAATTACCACGTTATATAAAGAAAGAGAAAGAGGAAAAATGACTGTAACGGGGGAGATCTATGAGGTCTGGAGGGAAACTATTTCCTGTTTCATATTTTTGCTTCATGATAATTTCCTTCAGATTGTTTATTTTAACATAATAATTAGGTTTAAAATAAGTTCATGGAAGTCATCCAAAATTCGAAATATAGAGTGTCTTATCCTTGCCGTCGTGCAGCTAGCTGAACATTTATAGAATTTACCATCCACTGAGATCAAAATTATAATATCTTTGATGTTAACGAACTTTAGAGTATTTTCCTTACATGGGTTGTTCAATCATGTGATGAAAATTTAATGGAATTCATAATTGTTCAAAATTTCACTTACTCTTACACCTCTTTCTCTTGAGCTGTCATTAAACCTTAATGATTTATATGCTATGTTTAGGTCTTTCTATTTCATTATAAAAGTTGAATAATTTCATTATAAAAGTATTTCATTCAACTAGTACTTTCTACTGCTGCTTTGCAGTTTCTGAGGTATATTGTGGTTACTATCCATGTAGCAGGTTTTCAGACAGTTGCTATTTTCATGCAGAATGGTGAAGCAGAGAAATCAGTGGCAGCAGTTGATGTAATAAGTGATACCGTGAAGGATTCACCTCACAAGGTATGCATTTGAAGTAGCATAAGTTAGATTCAATGTTGGGAATTCATATGTACTGTATTTATGCAGTGGAGGTTCCTAAATCTCATAGTCATAAATTGGTTTTATTTATTTTCCTTTAAATGTGGCTAGACCGTCTGTCTTTTTTGCTGGGATAACAGCTTCCTTAGGCATTAATGAAGAATTAAGATTCATTGTACTATTTCCTTTTTTCTCTTTTCTGTAGTCATTTCTGATACTTCAGTGGTAAGACATTTGCTATTTGTTTCTTTGAACAATACTTTATTAGTTTATTCTACTTGTGAAGAAAAAAAATTCTGGCTTACATTGTTTTGCCTGTTGTTAATGAAAAACAATAATTTTGGTGTCAATGTAATTATTTATTGGAGCACCTCATTTTCTTTTTCTACTAGAAAACTATAGTTGAGTTGATGATGACATGGAAGGAGGCTAAAATCTGAAAAAATAAAAGTGAACCAAAAACTTAGTTAATGAAATGCTTGAACAGGAAATCATATATTTCAGGCAATGGAATAAAAGATGGCCCAGACACAGAAAATCTAATTAAAATATGTTAGTTCTAGGACAGCTATTTTGTCTTACAGCATATTAAAGGACCCCAAGTATCTAAAGCTTTGAGCTGGCATTAGATTGGAGTTTTTGCGAGTATACTATAAAATCACACTGGGCTTTTATCAGGTTTCCATAAGGTGGATATCCTAATCTAATAAAAATGTCATGAGAAGCGCAAGAGTGGATTGGAGAAAGGGAGCAAGAAAAGTTTATATGTTATTTACCTAGTCGCCTAACGCATTTGTATTTTGGGGTGGTGGTTTGAACAGATTCCTTTCCTTGTTATGTGAAGGTGGGACATGCTGCTGGTTAAATTCATCTCCCAGATAAATATAGGTCACCAAGTATTGCTAAGTCACTGTAGTTCCTGAGATATTATTGATTCATTGAACTTCCTTGGAATTTTAAGAGGAAGCAAATATGTATTATGTTGTCTGTTTGAGCCCGCGCCACTTGTTAAATGTTGTTAATGTTATACTGTCTAATAAAATATTTGGCATCTTTTACTGACTTTTTATCTTTTGCATTGTTGGTGCAGATCTTCATTGGTGGAATTTCGAAAACTTTTTCATCTAAAATGGTAATATGATTTCAAATTTTTTGATACTTTCTAGGTGATATTGCCTTCACAATGACTTACATTCCCATTACTGTGCTCCCTCTTGCTCTCACTTCAAACCCTTTCCTGTTCTCTCCTTTTTGCATCCTTTTCCCTTTTTGTTAACATTTTCCTATTATTAATCCCTTGAATTAATGTCAACTCATATGATGCTTTTCTAGATTATGGAGATTGCTTCTGCTTTTGGACCTTTGAAAGCGTATCACTTTGAGATCAATGAGGATCGTGATGAACCATGTGCTTTTCTGGAGGTAATAGAGCATGTTGGTGCGTATGTTTTTCATTTGTTTTTGAGAATGAATTCACTAACAGGTAAAATTTGTGTGGTTAATTTGATAGTTTTATCTGTTTCCAGATAGTGCTTCTTTAAATGATCAGGTTTCGCCTGTATTTAGTTCATACAGTAATAGGGATCAGATTTGCCTTATTTTGAATTTGGTATTAGCTATTCTTGGAGGGAGCTAATTTTAAGTGTCTTGTACACTGATTAGTTGCATAGTCCATGTGCTCTTCTGATGTTCATTGGCTTTCTGAGAGATATTGTTTTTCAATTAACTCATTAAGCTAGTCAGTCTGATTCTGGTTGATTGCTTCCATTGTATGGTCTTGAATCTGTTAAATCTACTGTCTGCCATGAATTTGTTTGTTTGTCTTTATATATATCATCACTTCTTTATCCGTAAACTCTTTTTTAACTTTTACAATAAATCTCCGTTCTCCTCTGACATTGGGAGTTGTGGTCTATGACACAGTATGTGGACCAATCAGTTACTCACAAAGCTTGTGCGGGTCTCAATGGCATGAAGTTGGGAGGGCAAGTACTGACTGTAGTTCAAGCTGTTCCAGATGGATCATCCTTGGTACTTTTTTAATATCCGTTCTTATAAATTTTGAGTGGGGACTGCAATCAGTTCTCTTTCATTATTTCTTATTTTTCATGTGAAACGTGTTCTAATTATAAGGAGCAACACATACTAGGAAAATAATGGAAATTCACCATTCTGTGGGATCCCTGAGCATGCGATTCCACTGCTTGAGAAGCCCACTCAAGTCCTGAAGCTTAAAAACGTGGTATGTTATTGAATATATATGTTGTTTATTTTGACTATTTATACTGTTTGTTTCTTCCCAAATCTGATATTCTTTTATTCATGATTAATTTACTCAATATTCTTCTAATAAAATTTTGTGTTTTATTTTTTTCAATGTTGATTAGTTCAAGCCAGAAGGCCTTTCATCTTTATCTGAATTGGAAGTCGAAGAAGTACTGGAAGATGTGCGGTTAGAGTTTGCAAGGTGTGTTGAATAACATTTTTCCATTTGAATTTTCATCCACGGTTTTATAAGCCAAATGATTGATATGGAAGTCATATTTGTAAATTAATGCTGCAGGTTTGGTACTGTTAAATCTGTTAATGTTGTCAAGTATGGAGATATTCAGATTGACAACCCAAACATTTGTGAAATCAGTGACAATGTGGCATCTGCCAGAGTCGAGCAAAACTTAAGATGTGTCGAAACAAATGAGAAAGCAGAAAGCTTGGAAGAAGCTATTTGCGACCAATCTGAAGGAATTAAGGGATTAGAGTCTCTAGATGATGCCAGAGTTAAGGAAATTGAGGGAAAAAGAGTTAATGATGATAACCTTGTGGGTGGCTTAGTGGTGGATGAGCCATGCCCACTGGATAGGCTTGACAATAACATGGCTGCTGAAGGCCTGGCCCCAGAGAGCCTGTCTAAATCACTTTCTCAAGAAGTCTCTGAGCAAACAAACACCTTGAAGGATGATTCATGCTGTCATGAGGACAGAGGTGCTTGTAGTATTGAAACAGACAACATCAGTTTGGAAAACAAACCATCAGCTGAAGTAGAATTGAATCTTGATGAAGTCAACAGAAACTTGCAGGAAGCCTCTGTGGGATTGGATGAAAGTGTGGAAACACATTCAGATTCTATTGAGAATGGTGGCAAAGAGAAACGGGATAATAATCTTGCACGCATATTCGAGCAAGGCTCTGTTTTTGTGGAATATCGGAGAACAGAAGCGTCATGCATGGCAGCACATTGTTTGCATGGACGGTTATTTGATGACCGGATTGTGACAGTGGAATATGTCCCTCTGGATCTTTACAAGAAAAGGTTTAAAAAATGAACCCATTTGGGAAAATTGCAGTCAGAGATAGGAGATAGAATTGGTTGGCTTAATTTCATCCTTAGGTGCCATTGACTACAGTATTTAAAGTTTGCCAAAATTTGACCCTTTCCCGGATGATCTTTATGGGATACCAACTTGAATAGCTTGGATTTTGAATCCTTCAAAAGGGATGGTTGGCTTCATCTGGCAAAGTGGAGCATCTTTACGTAAAATGGCTGATGGCAATGGTTGCATGAAGTATGTCTGAAAGTGGAGGTGAGGTGAGTAGATGCAGTTTTAGTTTGATTTAGGTTATGGACATTCCATGTATTAACTTTATTTGTGAGGTTGTTTGAATTTTGATTCATTTGTATTTTATAGATGTTGTATCTTTTACTATTGGTCTGGTTACACAGTTAACAGCATAATCTTAAAGATGAAAGCTGGTTTCTTTTTTGTTATTGCGTTTGCGGTTAATGCTTGAATTCTTGTTTGTAACTTAATTGATTTTACCCCAAAAAAAAAAAAAAAACGAGAATGCTTTATGAAGCCATAGTAACCTCATTATTGATGTTTTAATAACCAACCCGTGGTGAAACTCGACAAAGTGGTTGGGTCTCGGGTAGATCAATTAAACTAGTTTGATCGGTGGGTCAAACTGACCGGTCTAGCTGATGTCCAAAGGTTTGAAATTCAATGAAAATTACATATAAATTCCTATAGGTTTGAAAACTTGAAAAAACATTCCAAACAATATCGTCGACATTGATGACCCAGGCCAAATAGGTACGGTTTCCAACAATGACAACACTCCTCATCATTACAAAAACACTCTCTTAGTCTCCTGTCCAAAACCCATCTCACCCTTCCCTCATTCACTTCGCCAATCGTCAACAACATACCATTGTTTTTGTTGATTGTTATTTGCCTTTTTTGGTTGATTCACTCACCAAAAATCACTCGCTTCACCACCTTTAGACTCAGTGGCACTCCCACTCCAAAAGCCTCAACATAATTGTCGATCATCGTCCATAATCCTAGAGTTTATAATGAATAGTTAAAAGTGATAATCCACGATTACCTGTCCAACGAAGGCTCCAAGTCCCGGTTGAACGGGTTCAACCAATCAGGCCAGACAAGGTTTCAAAACACTTCTCGTTATAACATTTTCTTAAGCAACAAACAATAAATTAAACTTTAGAGACTAAAAATTTGAGACATGTCGTTATAACTTATAATCCAAAGCAGCTTTTGAAATAAATATATTTCATTGATTTGTTCGACATTAGAGATTTGATGAAACAGAGAAACCACGTTTTCAAAATCATTTTCTATGTGTTAGTGCACAAATTTTATATATACGTTTTTTGGTTATTAAGCCATTAGAATTTGATAGTTTAGAAATTGTTAAGTTGATATTAAAACTAATTACCTCTTTTCTTAATTCTACTCGATTGTACAAGATCAATAACCTCAAATTTATTTATAAATTTGTTAATTTGTGCTATAAATAAAAATCTAACTCATCTTAAAAATATTTTCTTATTATTCTATAAATTTATTTGCTTTTAACAAATATTGAAGCTTAAAAAAACGGCCCACAAAGATGATCCAGCCCAAGTGTAAACTTATACTGTAACTGTAAGGACCAATTTTCACATTTTACACTTCTCAAAGAAATGAAAAACAGGAGATGATTCACTGAAAATTCCATATCATTATCCTACCACACACTTTCTCTCTACTTCTCCAAAACACCAAACGGATAAAACAAAGTGTTCTCTTTTTTAAAACTCTTGCCCAAAACAATGGCAACATTGGCAACACCCGGAGTGTTGCTCGGAAACACTTCTAAGTTGTGCTTTCGCCGCCCACCGCATCTTTCTCCTAAACTTAAGTCAGTCTCTTCGGAGCTGGGTTTTGTTACTTCACAATTAAGTGGCATCAAAATTTCGTACAACCTCCCTGACGTGGCAAAGCCCAACCCCATTTCCTCCCCTTTTGCTCCGGCTCTTCAACCCGTTGCACGTAATTCTCTGTTTCTGGGTTTCTTTGCCTTTGTTTTGATATATTATTGTTTGTATTTGTATTTCTATTTTTAAAGTTCAAATATGCATTCGCCATTACTCTTTTGTGAGTTAAACATTGAGGAAATAAAGCAATAATTATATTTTGTAATCTTGAGATTATATTAACTTAGCTTGGACCTTTTTTTGTGGTTTAACATGAAGTTGATGTTTTTGGACTTTGGTTGTGCTAATATTAAGTGGGTATATTCAGATTAAGTGGAATTTGAGGAGATAAGATGAGCTTTGTTGTAAAATTTCTTAATTTATAGGATCTATTGAAAGGATTTGAGACTTTGTATGTGCATATTTATTTATTGGTTCTCTTGACTATTGTTTTTGAGGGCACATATTAAGGAAGTATTTGCTGAAACTCTTAAAAGTATAACACTTTTCATTGCATCAGTATGCCTTTCAATGCATCCCATGTAATCAAAATTTTGTCATTATATGATTTTTGCCGTTGAGTGATTTCTTTAAGATGTGTTCTTAGGGCATACATTAACATAATCCAGGGGTTAATTAGAGGCTAAGGGATTATGACAGAGCTGAAAATCAAGTTGTATAGATGGTTATAAAATTTAGATGAATGTAATGAGGAAAACGAATTCTACTAGTTTACTCTCATTCATCATCTGTGTCATCCTTTTTATTCTTCTCAGGGGACCAGTGTTTCAGTGGTAAATAAGCAATTTTTATTAACATAATGATATTTTTGTTTTTGCTATTTGTTTCTGAATATCATTGGAGGGCATTGAAAGCTAAGTAGATTGACATGGTTGCCTCTGTTTTTTTATTAACATAGTGATTTGTTCTTCTTGCCATTTGTTTCTGAATTTCATTGGAGGGCATTTAAAGCTTAGTAGATTGACATGTCCTCCCTTTTTTATTGTATTGGACAATTAATGTATGTATCATCAAAGTTAACACGCTGGGTATGTTTATTGGGAACATCATTTACATTCTATATTGTTCTCAATTCGCTTTCTGAATTGCTAATAATTCTTATTTATTTTTAATAAGAACAATTAGCTGAAGGTGTGATAATTTTTGTTGGAAATGTTATTATGAAGTATCATATGGAATAATATTCACTAGACTGCATTTTCACTGGTTGTGCAATCTACTTATCTAGCTTTGTGTTTTTCTTAATGATTTTCTTAAACCATTTTGTTTGCCTATATCTGATAAATTCAATGAATTTGTGGCACATGAATTACCAATTATAATATAATTCATCCTTCCAGGGAGAATTTGTCCCTTCACTGGGAAGAAAGCAAACAGGGCCAACAAAGTTTCCTTCTCAAACCACAAAACAAAGAAGTTGCAGTTTGTGAACCTACAGTACAAGAAGGTTTGGTGGGAAGCTGGTAAGCGCTATGTGAAACTGCGTTTATCAACCAAGGCTTTGAAGACAATAGAGAAAAATGGATTAGATGCTGTTGCTAAGAAAGCTGGGATAGATCTTCGAAAGGAATAATAGATGGTTTCAGTTGGTAAAGCCTGTCTGCTTACTGTTTCCCCTGTATTTTAATCTTTTCTCATGATTTATTGTTTTATTTTTGTTGGATTCTTCCATTCAAATGAGGAAAATTAATCTTTAAGCCTACAGGTTTTTTTAGTTTGTTTTTTGCATTTTCTCGTCAGGATTTGGATCCCTGTTTTATCAGTAAAATGTTACATGAAAATGTGAAAGATGAAACATCATTGTGCAGATATGATTGTCCGGATGCCTTCGATTTCAAAGTAGTTGCATTCTAAAGTGAACATATATTGTATTATTGAACATCGGAACATGAGCTCGTAAATAATTGACCAATTGAAGAAGCAAAATAGCATTTCAGTGGATGGCTTATAAATATGTCATGTTCTCTTCTTCATCTGAGAATAAGATGCATAATATATAGGATTCGGACTTTGCTTGATGATCATTGAAGGGATTGAATGTGATCCAGAATGAAGACTGGAACTACCTTGGAATACATTCTGCATTTGAAGGGAGGGAAATTGTAACCTTAGGTTTTGTGAGTAAGTAATTTGGCATAATTTCCACATTGAAACATGCATCAGGTACTTGGATTTTATTCCCCTCAGCCAATGGACATGAACAGAAGGTTTATATCATAGTTCTTAGACTAAAAAAAATTAGGCTCAAAAAATTTTCCATATGGAAAAAGGGCCAAGCTTCACATCAGTTCCACCTGCTTGCATAAATGGCCAGTCCTTTGTATGCCCTGAGGAGATCATGCATGATGGTATTTGGAATATTCAGCGTCTTTGTTTGCAAGATATATGTAACCAGAAGAGTTCATAACAATAAGCTAATTGCGCATCAAAATTGAAAATGTTCTCAGTATCACATTCCCATACATTTGCAGTACCAAAATTTCTAGATATATTTTCAGCTTATAAATTATAACTACCTGTACATCATCAAATATTTCAATGGAACTTTGCATTGGGATGAAGCTATTTTCCTTTTTTCCTATAAACAACGGGGTTTTACTGGCCAAAACTAATGCAAACTTTAAAACCTATCTCTGTCTATTTAGTAACAGGGAAAACAAAATTCAATTTCCTGACTTTGCTTTTTAAGTAACTAGTATGGTTGTTAGTTGTCACCATGGACGCAATATAACCTAGAATGTTGGACCAAAAAAAAGTCTTCTTATCATCTAGAGTGAAGTATCCCCTGCCTCAGGTATACCTGGAAAAGATAGAAAACAGAAAGAATTTATTAAAAAAAAAAAAATTTAATTAATTGAACTTCTATCAGTAATGTATACTTTGTAAATCATCCGAGTATCAATTATCCCTAACACACGGTCACTATCTTGATTTAAACTGGTCAGCATTACCAAGTTCTGACCAATCAAATATTGTACATGACAGTAAAACAAGAGGAGTTCTAAGAACAATCAAATATGTTGATGTCAGTTTTCTGTGAGAATTAAGATACTATCACCAACAATCACCTTCAGAAATATATATATATATATCAGACTCAGGAGTGGGGTCGATCACCCAATACAGAGTCAAATTTTTTTACATTCCCAATTGAACTAGCCCCTCTTGAAACAAAATTCAGAAAGCATGTTATTTACTGGGAACTTCAGTTCTGGACAAATTCACAATGTCTAGGTAATATGAGTATTATTTAAGACAATACATACCGAATTAGGGGTTAATAATAGAATTTCTATGGATTTTAAAAATCAGAAATGAGCCCACTAAATCAAGATGATAGTATAGTATGATAGCAAAACATTACTATTTTAAACTTTGCTAGATCCCAAGTGAAAGTTGGACAATCATATCTGCACAAAGATGTTTTGTCTTTCACATTTTCTTGCAAAGTTGGGAATCCAAAAGCACAAATTGGCTATTCCCAGTAACTATTCCGTACAAACTTAAACTACTCCAGCAAGTGTTACCATTCTAGTTTCCAGAAACAAGGCTTGTGACACAATTTGTAAGACTAAAGTTATTCTAAACCTAAACTTGGGTCTTTATACTCAACCATGTTCAAATGCAAGTACTATGCCAGTGGACAGCAAAAATAGTTATTGTACAATTAAATATTAAATCAAAGATAAATCATGGTTTGAGTAAGAAAAACTAACTTTCAAGAACTGGATTTTCGTTATCCAGTAAAATCATCAGCAGGGTAATAATCAGCAATGAGCCGGTAAATGTATGAGGACTTATATCCTCCTCTGTGAAGAAATGAGAAATATCAGAACACAATATGAGAAACAATTTAATAATATAATCATTTTGATTCATGTATTTTTAGAGATTGGAAAAAGGAAACTATAAAAAAAAAAATTTAAATACAATGTTTGATCAGACTTTTCAATATTGGATATAAAAAAAGGGCGCCTGGATCCGGAAGGTAGGATCAAAGTCAGTGGTTATAGTTTGTGACTAAGAGTTGGCATAAAAGCAGAAAGATAGTCTTACACATCAGTAACAAAAAGAGTGACTAGATCCGGAGAAACATAATCAAATGAAGGAATGACAACATGAAGTAGTGGAGGACCACAGCCAATTCCATAGTCCATACAGTCTGAGAATTCCTCAAACTGCAACAGCCCGGAAGGAGATCTTAGTTCATTAAGTACAACCTCCGGATTGTGCAGATTTAATGAGCACAACTGCCAAACAAGTAAGAAGGCATGAACAAAAATTAATATGCATTCAGTAATACGACCTAACAACAAAAAAAAAAGAGAACAGAATATTTTTTTTATTAACCAGCATAGTCATAAGCACCCACAAATTTTAGAAAAAAACAAAAAAGTTTTTATAGGTATCTGTAGTGGCATTAAACATTATGTGGATTCTAATGTATAAAAAACCAAAAAAGTAAGGAGATTGAATATAATGTGACTCAAGCTCGTTCTCACTAAAAATGCCACACAAGTGTAACTGTAATATCTTATTAAACATGTGCATTTTAATTGCTTTATATAAAGAACAGCTATAATACGATGGGAGATTAGATCATATACGAGTATCACAGTAATAGAGTTCGACGGCATAATAGTACTTTTAGCACAAGGATTGATGGAATTGATTTTCTGCCTACATACCTCATGTATACCAGCAACCACAACAAATGAAACAGCATGCTTTTGCGGCAACCATGTTCAACCCAACTGGTGCTACCACACCACCATTGCCCATCACAGCATGAACTCCGACTATAACCTTCAGGAAAAGTTTCAAGTTAAGAAACTAATCTTATCCGAAATGTCCATGGATTTGAATTCAACAAGAAAAGAAACCAAAGTTAATTTTACCATGTTCACTCGAGAAATCATTGCAAAAATGGCTGAATCAGTTATCAGAGTAGTATTTAAACCTTTTTCACTCAATTTTTTGCAAGATCATGACCCTGATACCTGCTCAAAGACAAAGGAGCAAGGAATTATTAGAAAACAAAGAATGAAAGTAATTTCTCCAAAATATAAAAAGGGGCTACTTTGTAGTGTCATGTACTTACCGGGGGGTGCCCTCCACAATAAAATCATCAAAAAGTCGTCCTTTTGCCTTCGCAGCACTCAAAGATTCCATCACAAATCTTGAATGACCAAAAGTCAATATCACCTCACTGAAAGACAGTGAACTAGTCAAAACTATTTAAACGATGAGCAATTTTATAGGTTAGTACATTTTTAGGAAGAACAAGACATGAAAGGATAATGGAAAAATATTAACAGATGCAATAAGAATCAAGGAATCAACATGCTCCTTTGAAGATTTTCCTCAGGAGTACTTTTAGACAGTGCAGTTGGCCTATTAATTTTACTCTGGTCCAGAGTTGCACTGTCATATCTGATGCATTGTTTATTAATTCTGGAACACCAGACCAACTCATAATTTGTGCTGGTTAATTGAGAACGCTTTGATATAAAGCAAATCAAATAGAATTTTTGGAGTGTGTATAATCCTGCATCCAGTAGTAACTTAACATACAAGTTCACCAGTTAAGAGTTAAGTTTCTAAAACATTCAGGCAAGTGTGATTCTAGATTGACTTCAATACTAAAGCAATGACTTCTCATATATTTTACCATGTGAAGAAACTTAATTGAGAAAATGAAAGTGAATGTTAATTGTAAATACTTATGATGAATAAGCTTCTCTGCTTGTTCTGCAATTTGTTCATGGCAAGTATCTATATCTTCATGAGTTCATTAACAGCCTTTATTACCTCATGCTTTAGTTTCCCACTCCTTGCACTTCAATCACCTGCTGCAAAGGATGACATATCATTCAATAATGAAATAGAGGAAGCATATTAGCTTACTCTTATTAAAGAAAACAGTATTACTTAGTGGCAAAAGCCAAATTCATATTTAAAACGTATTATTGTACTACTAACTATAAAAATAAAACAAAAAAATGAAGCTCTAAGCTTATAGTCAATGTAAAATAAAATTAAAAGAACAGTTTCCAGTGATATCTACACAAAACCTATATAGTAGCTTACAATTTGCCTTTTCCTTCAACGCCATCTCCTAAAGCAGAAGTCTGGCAGAGTGTTGCTGATTTAGATAAGCTATTAAGAATGGCACACAACGAAGGTGGATGTGACAAGCGCATAACAGGAATAGCAGCAGCAGACAGGTCTCGGTTATTTTCTCCATCAATGATATCCTGAGCACCGATTTCAGCTGATAATTTCAACCCACCAACAGCATTTGCCAGCGGTGAAGAATCCTCCTCCCTCATAATATGCAACACACGCCTTACAGTGTTCCCAACTGCAAGTTCTGCAATCCCATTCAATTGTATGTTACTACTTACTGATGAGCTGCATCAGACTCTGCTTTAACACCAATTTAATTTTAAACATCAACCAGCATTATCACCACCAATCTTTTTAAATCCTAATTGAAAGCCAAACTTTGATTTTGAAAATACTTTTCAAGAAGCTAGGCAGTGATAAATGGAACTTTAGACCTAGCCTAATCAATTTTTACCCCTCAATCAAATAAGAGAGCACAATCGTTCCGCAGTCCAGACATCATTTAAAAAATTAAGATATGATTAGAAGTTTTCTGAAACAACTTACGTGCAATCTTGTAAAGAACAAAAATACAATGTTTTTTTAATTTTAACATAATCTTTAAATTATATTTGAATTTTGTCAATTGACTCTAGTACAATACACAACTGAGAAGTTTAAATCATGTTCTAAGAATATAATAGTTTTTTCAATAAATGCTCATGAGCATTTAGTGATCATATTTTGACAAATCTAGTGTTAATTGACAACGAACTGATAGATAAGTTTCTGATTACAAGTTCATTATAGTTAAACCACGAGTTGCTTCCAGAACAAGTTTCAAGTTCACCCGTTGAACAAAAATATCCAAAACCAAATTGAACCTGAAAAACATACCAACGGGATTAGCATCAATCAGCAGCTCACCAACACTCCTCACGGCTTCAATCAGAGCCGCCGCTGCGTTCGTTGACAGCTCCCTGTGCTGTGATATCACTGATTGTAGCAACTCCGCCGTCACCCTAGCAGTTGCTTGTGAACCCTCAATTTTTCTGTCACCACAATTAATTAAATTAAAATACCAAAAAAAAAAATTAATTAATTACAACAAAAGTAAGAACAATCTCGCATTATGCGTGTGAATAGTACATTAAACTCACCGTTTTTTAAGCTTGGAAACCACGTCACGAACGAGAACATGAATGTCTGGCATTTTTTAAGCCGAAACAAACTTTCTGAAAATATATTTGAAATCACTGATTTTAAAATTGTGGAACAACTGATTTACACTGGTTAATTGTCATCTTTCTTTTTTTTCACTAGAAAAAAAAACTTTATAATTGTTTTAATTATTCTGTTCGTTCTTCAAAACTTGGTTCTTTCGGTAAATTAACAAAAGGGACAATAATAATGAGAAAAATTACTTGAAATAATCAGATCTCCAGATGGAACAAAGGGTAGAACCGTAAAAATTCAGAATTGAAAATATATTTATTATCATTTCCTTAAAAATTTAAAAATAAATAAAAATAAGGTAATTTCATCCTCACGAGATCAATAAATAAATAAATTAGGCTAAATGATTTTGGAGCAAATGATTAAATCCATTCAAATAGAGCAAACCACAACAAAACATTTTTTATTTTTCACTCTGTTTTTTTCTATCATCAAACTCCTTTATAAACCCTATAGAATTTAACATACCCATAATTAATTTACATTCATAAATGGCTGAGATTGCTGTAGTTACATGCAGAATTTGTCATCTAAAGGGTTCAACTGGTGCAGTTTCTTCAAGAAGAGCAGCAGCTTCAAAGCATTCGACTGCTTCCAGCATTGATGCGCCAACATCAGCCTTGTACAGCAGCCCAAGATTGTACCATGCTGCAGGGTTTGTCCGGTCAAGTCGAAGGGCATCAGTGAGGAAGCTTCTCACGGTCACCATTGATTCACCACCAATCCGTCTAAGGATGCAAGCGATGGAGATTAAGCTTGGGACGTGGGTGGGATCAGCATCTAAAGCCTTTCTGAACGATTTCAGAGCTTCTTGGTGAAGACCCTTTGCTTCATTTAGTAAACCTAACCCAAAAAATAAAATCAACAAAACAATTTAAACTAAGTATTTAAGAGATTTTAATCAAAATAAAGTTCGAATAGGTCAAGCAATATATATTTAACGAAGCAACAGCCAGACACTCTGCAGAAGTCAGAAAAAGGCCTATAGTGGAGGCTGAAATCTGTTTTTTGTTAAAAAGGCAAATTTGTCATTCTCACTTAAGAAGTTTAAATACATTCAGGAAAAGGACGGCAAATGTAACTTGACTGATTAAATTAAGGAAGCATATTTTCAATATGAGATTAAGGAATACTGAGTAGGATGTCAATGAAAACCGTCATATAAACAGTAAAGAAAAGAAGCATAAATGCAAGAGTCAAGACTGCGAATGAAATATTTTATACCTGTGGAGTGCCATCCAGGAGCAGAATACGGACTGATAGCCTTGGATTTTGAAAGACAGATCTCAGCATCCCGCCACTGAGACATGCTTGTGTACGCATTCGCTAGCTCATGCCATGTTTCCATTTCCAAACTTCTATCATGATTGCCCCTTTTCTGCAAGAAGAAATCATATGAAGAAAGTAATCAATCTAGCAATTGTCCAATCAAGCTTTTTCCAATGTTATTTGCATGTTGGGCTCAAGTTAATCTTTAAAAAAAAGTCTCACTCCAATAAGCTGTCAGCTAGATGCAATGTCAAATATCGTAACATGACTTATAATTACAGGCCATATACCCATATCAAATTGATAATATACCTTAAGAAGATTCTTCCCAGCACCAAAGCTTTTCATCTGAACTTGGAGAACAGCAAGCAGATGTGTATATGTTTCTATGGCATTTTTTAGTTGGCCCTGTGCAATCTGGAGTTTAGCTTTAGTTCGCAATAGTTCTCCTTGGTCCCACTTCCCTGTCTGATCCAGAGCAACATTAATTACAGTCTCCGCATCAAAAAACCGTTTTTGAGCTGACAATATTCGAGCCAAAAGGATANCAAGTTAATCTTTAAAAAAAAGTCTCACTCCAATAAGCTGTCAGCTAGATGCAATGTCAAATATGGTAACATGACTTATAATTACAGGCCATATACCCATATCAAATTGATAATATACCTTAAGAAGATTCTTCCCAGCACCAAAGCTTTTCATCTGAACTTGGAGAACAGCAAGCAGATGTGTATATGTTTCTATGGCATTTTTTAGTTGGCCCTGTGCAATCTGGAGTTTAGCTTTAGTTTGCAATAGTTCTCCTTGGTCCCACTTCCCTGTCTGATCCAGAGCAACATTAATTACAGTCTCCGCATCAAAAAACCGTTTTTGAGCTGACAATATTCGAGCCAAAAGGATATATCCTTTAACATTAGAGCCAGCCTCAACCTTCAACAGTTGTTTTGCGTAATAAAGTGCAACATCCAACTTCCTCTGCTCAGAATTTTCTAAACAAAGATGCAATACAATATATGGATCTCGTTCTCTCATCATTCTCGCAGCAGTTTCCAGTGCCTCAAGAGCCTCAAACTGCTTCAAAGTTCTCTCAGAATCAGAAACAACAAACCTTGATTGAGCTGACAGTAAAACACCCAGTAAACAGTTTGCAATGCTAGCTATCTGGTCACATCTCCCATGAAACTTGGAAAGTGCTTTGTGAGCATAACTTATTCCTTCCTCAATGCATAAATTATTCTCTGCACAAATCTTTGAAGCCAGCAATAATTCCATTATGCAGTCTGAATTTCCTCTGTGGTTCAATAAGTTCTTCAAAAGATTCAAAGCAACAATGTGTTCCCCTTCTCCATAATAACAAAGGGCGAGAGTACAATATTGTTCTTTTCTTTTCATGACCCCGGGAAGTAACTCTTCAACCTGATGAACCAGAGCCCATAAATCCCCTGAAATAGACAGGGCGAATGCAAGGTGATCTATGATTGATGGGTCCCATCCAATTCTTCCAAGAACAAATTTTCTCAGTAAAATCAGTAGCAAGAGAACGGCCTCTTCTATGTTGTTTCTTGGCACAAAAGAGTATTCCATCTGTGAACGTAGATTCGGAGGGCTTGCATCAGTACCGCTGTATAAAAGAAAAACTGCAAATTCCTTTTCTATCTTTGTCATGGTTTCAATGTCAAGATTCCAACAATAGAGGAGAGCCCGCCTGTACGACAAAATAGCTTCTTGGAGTGACCCAGCAAGTTTCCATAGTTCTGGAAGCAATTCAACAGCTTTGTTTAGAATCTCTTGCAATTTACAATCTACAGAGTAGTTTTCCGGAAAGCCTTCGGGTAATGCATGTTCAACAGTATCCAAGAAAACTTGACATGATTGAGCAGCCTCTACAAAAGTAAAAAAAAAATTAAAAAAAAAAAGGGCAGGAAGAAAAATTAGGCATGCCTTGATTATATATAACAAATTTTTTCCATCTAAAAGGCAATTATTTTTCAGGATCTTTCTTTTGTTTATGTGTGCCTATATACTGATGTGAGACAGGAGGAAGAAAGAGAATCACAGAAACATATGAAAACTCCTGCTATGTGAATTCCACAAAAACTAGCACATACTATTCAATGATTATGAAAAGATACATAAATTCGAAACTTGTAGAAGGAAATGGTGAGAATATTCTTACTTAATGTTTTGAATGTCAAATTCATCACATGCTACTGGAAAGAAAACTTTCCAACTAAAACAATCTCATGACTAGAAAACATAAAAGACAAAATGGGCAATAACTTAAAAACTAAAATTTGATGGAAGGATAACCATAATTGAAAGGGAGAATAAGATGAACAACATACCTTCAAATCTTCCAAGACCCTGCAATGATTTTGCTTTAAGAAAAATAGCTTCAAGGAGTAAACTAACAGCATGCATAGACATCGGTGGAGCAGCATCACTTTGAGAACGGCGCCGATTTTGTTCCCATCTTTTTGAAAGGGAAACTTTCATCTTGGAAGTCACAGATGCAACATCTATTCCTTCAAATACATGAAGTGCAGCTTCTATGTTTCCTTTCTGAAACTCAAGCCTTCCCAGTAATGCTCTAGCTTCCTAAAATCGAGATGATTACTTAGCTTTACCACATGCCGTGAAGATTTTACATTACATTTAAACAAATCATGAGGCACCATGGAACATGGGCATATCATCAACCTCCCAAACAATATGGAAACAGAGCCATTTGCCAAAATCCAATAATGTACCATTTTAACTGACTTCAATAGTATATGTTTTGATCAAACAACCAACAATCATTCATTAACAATAAACCAAAATAGTATATGTATTGTCACAGTTGAACAAATAGGCTTCATGAAATAGTTCCAATATACATCATTCAAAATCTCGTGTAAAACTTAGTCAAATAATTGAATTATCTGCATGAATAGTGAGTCATCAACCAAAAATAAATAAATAAATAAGCCACTGACATGCCACATCAATAAAAGATTTCAGTAGTTGCATGCCTAACCATTTTTTGTAATTCATTGAATATAAAACTCCCACAATAAAATGCTGAACCGAAGGGTTTTGTGCAATAATGAACAAGTATTGCGAAACATATAAAGTACTATGATAATTTGAAGAGGATGAAAACACAATGAACTTGCTTAACTAATAAGCAGACGTACATCAAGCCGCATGGAAGATCATCAGAAGTAAACAGTCCTTCCATAATTTTCCATGTAACTTCTGCTTTGAGTGGTGTAAGGAAAGGAATTGCATAGTGTTCTTTACCATTAAAGATAATAAAATTCCAAATACGATGAATTACCTAAGCATTGGATTAATTAATACAGTTATGATCTTTGCAAAAAAACCATGGGCAAAAATGGTATCCAGAAAGAAAAAAAAAAGGGGGCTTGAAACAAGATGTCCCCTTCTATCATTCCCATTATCTTGGCTAATACCACCTTAAAACGACATTGCAGATTTATATAGACAGTAACACATGGATAAACTTCACTCAGACTGTCAGAAACTTGTTTTTATGATCCATTGGAGTGCTGCCACTATTGAGGAATTGTCTCTCACATAAAAAGTATTCATCAAGAAGATATGTTCACCACACAAAAGTACCACCATATTGGGTAATAGGATATCGTAACTATGATCTAATTCATTCAGCTAACTAAAATTCCAGAAGAAATGACAATCAAAATAAGAGCAAAAGCAACCTACTGAAAATGCAACAGACACAAATTTTTAAGTAAAACTAACCTCATAGTTCAGATAACCACTTTCACGAAGAGATGACTCTGCTTCTTCGATGTTGCTATTATCAACCTTTGAATCCATCTCACCAGGTCGAGATGAATATCCACTTGCAGAATAGTCCCGAGTTGCCAGGGACTCTGATGAAGAAACTAATTCATCTACTCTTAATTGTCGATCCCCTGAACAAATGCATTTTATCATCTTCCTCAACCTCGATTGGACTCCAAATTTCTTATTGAACCAATACTTAATTCTCATTATGTTTCATCACACTTGAAATTCTCCTAAAATAGCATCAACAACAAAAATAAAATGAAATAAAATACAGCATTAGAACTAGTCAAAAGACTTGAATAGCATAACCACAAGCTGATGGAGGAGAAAAGATTAAAACAGATGGATAATAGAGAATTAAATCTAGGGAGGCTCACGAAACTAAATCCTAAACAACCTCAACATCAAATTCTAATAATCCTAATCCTCAAAAGATAAGGGCAAATGAAATAATAAAACAATTAAATAAAAGACTAAACAAGCTAAAACACTCGATTCATAAAAGATAAGGACTAAATAAATTTAAATTAATTATATTCTTCCTACATCATAAGCACAATTCAATGTTTATAGATTCTTCAAATCATGAACAAACACTTGAATTCTAAACACCAGCAAAGTAAAGTTAATTTGTATGGCCCAAAAAATGGGAAGCAAAATATGAGAGGCTTTAAACCGAAAATACAAAAAGTCAACAAGCTTTCTTCTTTCTCTTTAACTACTAAAACCAACAATCATGCCTTAGATTGAGAAGATTTCACTTGTCAAAACAACAAAACAGAAACACCAACCTTGAAAAGCGAAACAAGTCATGAAGAAAAAGAAAAGAAAAGACAACCCAGAAAGGAAATCCAGCTAAACCCAGATACATGAGGTGCTTATTTCCACACCACAAAACAGTAGACGTAATCATTTGAAGGAAAAAGTTGACAGTAAAAATTACTGAAACAGACTCATTACAGCATGATGAAGAAAAAGAGCATTAAGCAAAGAAAGATCAAACAAGCTTAAAAAGAAAAGTACCTTTTCATGGTAAAAAAGCATTGACCGAGCCCACAATTCACCACCAACTTGACGGTGCATCTCTCACTCTACAAAATTTAACAGAGGAAAAAAGTCCCTTAATTTTCTCTCGTTAAGCAAGAATCCAAAGCATCATCATCTCTTTCTCTTTCTTTCTAGTAGTCGTTTGATTTGATTTGATTATTTATTGGTTTGTTGAGATGTTTGAAAGAGTGAGACTATGAGTTGAGAGAGATTAAATTCAAGTGCATTAAATTATGAAATCTAAACTGGCGAACTTGTCTAAAAGTATACAGAAAATAAAATAAAATATTGGATTAAAAAAATGCGGGGCCCAGTTTGAAAAATACTCCTTCAGCTGCCGGCCACGTTGGAGCTCTCTTCTCACTCAAGTTTCCTCTGACACTTTGACTAACTTGTTAATTGTTATTATTATTATATTGGAAGCATGGATTAAGGAATCTTTAAGAAAAGGAAGTGAATAGTAAAAATTTAACACACCCCAAAGGTATGAAAAATTATCCAATACCTCCCTTCATTTGTCTTAATTGATAGTTTATCTATGTTTGGTCTACTTCATTTACCCCCTATGAGATCAATTAATGTCACACTCACACTCATTCATTTTGTTTTAAAAGTATTTGAAAAATCCTTATTGTTAATGATAATATGTATGGTTCCATCCAATTTTTAAATTAAAAGTCTATTTTACCCTTTTAATTAATGAGACTAATAATGTTGTTAAACTAATTATGCCGTGGTGACCTTTATATAGTTGTTAAAATTGGGAATTATATCCTGCAATGTAACCTAGTATTTTGCCAAGGCAATAGTAGTGTCCTTCATATATCGGTTAATAACGATTAATCTTTGCCCTTAGTCTTGCAAAATAACATATTTGACACTTTTTGTCATAACCACTCCCATAATCCCATTATTCCAAAATACATACAAACAAACCACCATTTTTCTTAACTCCGTAAATGAAGTAACGGCACGCGGAGAAAACAATGTAAGGGGTAGTTTGTGATACGCTGATACTTACCCATTAATCTTTAGTTGCCATCCAAAAATCCAATGAACCCACGTAGTTTCAAATATTTACAAAAGCCCTATCGTGTGCAATATTTTTTTTTTTTTTTTTTTTTTTTTTTTTTTTTGAAGGAAAGTATCGTTTTTAAATAAAGCCCTTTAATTTGTACTTTGTGTCTTTGTGAGGTAATTTTGTTATTTCAAAATCTAGAAGCTTGGTAGTTATTCATCTTCTATTTATGCAACTTACATGGAGAGTTGATGATTTCTTTTAGGCCAAAACACAGTTCCCACCCTAGATTTAGCAAATCTACAAGTGAGTATTCCTGATTTCGGAAACTATCAGCGTTCCACCCATATTTTAAATTCAGCCGTTAAAACTAACAGCAAAAGGATAATAATGTAATTTATCACCTTATATAAAAATAAGAAAACAAACAAAATTAATCCAACTTAATAACTTATAATCTAAAAATTCTCAACACTGATACTATTTCCCAAACTATAACCATTGAAAAAGTTAAAAAAAAAAAAATTAAAACACTCTAATGCCAATGATCGACCTACGCAACCCCACGATGGCCTGGCTAGCCGCAATTATCGGATTGATGTGTGGTGAGCCAATGAGACCAAGCGATGGTGCTACACCGCAGATCAAGGAAAATAATATAGCCACCGACATGGTAGTGTACCGAATTTGTGCACTGAATGACGTGGCAAAATTTTGACCGTTGATTAATTTTAACTTAATATTAATCAACGGTCATGATTTTGTCACGTCATTCGGTGCACTATTGTCGGTGGCTGTAGTATTACTCGCAAATCAATGGTTTAATTTCCAGCACCTCCTGGCTCTCCAACTCCTTTTCTTGTGTTTTCCATCATGGATTGTGATTGATTTTAGGTTTTTATTAATCTAATATTAATTCTTGATTTAGCTAGAATTTATTTATAATTTTGTTTAATTTGGTATTAATATTTTTAATAGGATTTTGATTAATTTGTTTGTTTTTTTTAAATAAGTGGAGATTTATTATTAAATTTGTGATATTATTTTTAAATTTTATTATTTGGAAATTATTAATAAAAGTAAAAGTGACATTTCATGGTCAAAACTCAAAAGCAGTGAAAATGCAATTTCCGTGGTCTGACATTATCAAAGGTTGGAATGTTGATAGTTTCTGAAATCAGGGGTACTAACAGTAGATTTGCTAAACCTAGGTGGGAACAGGTATTTCGACCTTTTAACATTAAATGTGGAATTTGACTTTTGATTTAATAATGAAATATTGGTCAATCTAATACGTTCTTCATCTAATTTTGCTCTTAAAAAAAAGGTGGTTGATAACCATATGAAAACGATAACGCAAAGTGTTATTATTTTAATGAGTTGTTTTTCATTCTAATTTTAATATTCAATACTCAATAAGCTTTTATACATTTTAATCCCGTTTTTAATTATATTATTTTAGTTAATTTAGTTGGCTACTATTTTTATTGTGTTTAGAAAGAATTATTAGCACCTCATCAAAAATGGATAGAATTTGAGGTGGGTTTGACTCTTCACCCAATAAGGTCTTGTTGAATAGGAGGATTATCCTCTCTTATAAACCAATAAGCTTGAGCGTGTCTAATCGGTGTGAGACTCTAACACTACCCCTCACGGTCAAACTCATATGTTAGGTCATACCTGTTATTGGAGGTAATTGTCGGCTCTAACTCGTCATCGGCTGGTTGAGCACTTAGCTCAACTAAATCTGACTCTGACACCATGATAGAATTTAAGATGGGTCTGACTCTTCATCCAATAAAACTTTGTCGAATGGGAAGATTACTCACTCTTATAAACTAATAGGCTTGAGTGTGTCTAGTAGTTGTTGGACTCCAACAAAAATTATCATGGCAATTCCTACATGTCTTCACTCTACAACTCTTTTTTTTTTTTTTTTTGAAAATTAAATTATTATTAATATTTTTTAATATGAGAAAATTAAAAAGACGTTGTTATTGTGTGTTTTTAGAAACAAATAGTGATAAATGGTGGATAAAGATTAGAGGAGGAGGATATTTTGGATTGGACCTACAGGAAATTAGGTTATCAAAGTAGATTAGTTACGGTACACTCATTTAAAGACTGAAAGGAGCATTTATTTTTGCCGTCGCACCACGGGCACTGTGAGCTTGTAATTAATGGTGATTTTCTCTCTTTCTTGGGCAAGTTTAGCTCAACAAAAATTAGCCCTAATTTTATAATTACCATTTCTACTGAGTAAAGTTATTTGAGTAGTATCAACAGAATTTTAAATTAATTAATTAGAAATCATATGTTTTAAGTTATTTCAAATTTTGTTCTATTTTGTTGAACAACAAGCTATGTATAAAGGAAACACAGTATTATGAAATAATAGATGTCTACTCGAATTCTTATCCAGTAGATGGTTTCAGGGTTCGAAGAATTAATTGAGGGACCATGAAAATAATAATAATAATAATAATGGATGGATGGATTCCTAACCGCTTATGTTAATGTTTGAGCAATCCAAACCAGCTGAGCCGACTTTCAAAATACTCCCAGTCTCTGCTTTTCAAACCTCAACTACTATAACCCATTTTATTGTATACTGTGATTTTATTTATATTATTAATATTTAATTTGCTCTTGCTGGAAATATATTTTAAAAAAAAAACTTTATATTGCGGTAAAGAAGGTAACATATTACATTATAATATGAACTAATTATTACTAATATAAAATGTTTCATCAAATTCAAATAAAACCACTAATAAACTTTAGGATAATAATATTAATGGTTCACGTTACTACTCTCCTGCATGCATGCAACGTGATACTTAGTGGTGTCCAATTCCACCACCCCCACCGCCTCCAAATCCACCCCCACCACCTCCTCCTGCTCCACCTCCACCTCCTATTCCTCCTCCAAATCCTCCACCTTTTCCGAATCCACCACCAGTGCCTCCTCCAACACCGCCACCAAATCCACCACCTTTACCTATCCCACCTCCAATGCCTCCACCTTTTCCGATTCCGCCACCACCACCAATACCACCCCCACCGCCTTTACCGATGCCCCCTCCCAGTCCACCACCTTTGCCACCTCCAGCACCACCACCTATGCCACCACCTTTTCCAATTCCCCCACCTACTCCTCCACCTTTACCAAACCCTCCACCAGCACCACCACCTTTTCCAATTCCTCCACCTATACCACCGCCTTTGCCACCACCAGCTCCTCCGCCAAATCCACCGCCTTTTCCAATTCCTCCACCTATACCACCGCCTTTGCCACCACCAGCTCCTCCGCCAAATCCACCGCCTTTTCCAATTCCTCCACCTATACCACCGCCTTTGCCACCACCAGCTCCTCCGCCAAATCCACCGCCTTTTCCAATTCCTCCACCTATACCACCGCCTTTGCCACCACCAGCTCCTCCGCCAAATCCACCGCCTTTTCCAATTCCTCCACCTATACCACCGCCTTTGCCACCACCAGCTCCTCCGCCAAATCCACCGCCTTTTCCAATTCCTCCACCTATACCACCGCCTTTGCCACCACCAGCTCCTCCGCCAAATCCACCGCCTTTTCCAATTCCTCCACCTATACCACCGCCTTTGCCACCACCAGCTCCTCCGCCAAATCCACCTCCTTTACCGATGCCTCCACCTTTGCCACCCCCACCACCAATGCCTCCTCCCTTACCAATGCCACCACCCTTTCCTCCACCGGCACCACCACCAAAACCATGTCCACCTCCTAATCCTCCACCGCCTCCAGCTCCACCACCAACACCATGTCCACCTCCTAATCCTCCACCGCCACCTGCTCCACCACCCACTCCATGTCCACCTCCTAATCCTCCACCGCCACCTGCTCCACCACCCACTCCATGGCCACCTCCTAATCCTCCACCGCCACCTGCTCCACCACCCACTCCATGGCCACCTCCTAATCCTCCACCGCCACCTGCTCCACCACCCACTCCATGGCCACCTCCTAATCCTCCACCGCCACCTGCTCCACCACCCACTCCATGGCCACCTCCTAATCCTCCACCGCCACCTGCTCCACCACCCACTCCATGGCCACCTCCTAATCCTCCACCGCCACCTGCTCCACCACCCACTCCATGGCCACCTCCTAATCCTCCACCGCCACCTGCTCCACCACCCACTCCATGGCCACCTCCTAATCCTCCACCGCCACCTGCTCCACCACCTACTCCATGGCCACCTCCTAATCCTCCACCACCACCAGCACCACCTCCTAATCCTCCACCTCCTCCAGCTCCACCACCAAACCCTCCACCAGCACCACCACCAAAGCCCCCACCTGCCCCACCACCAGCACCTCCACCTGCTCCTCCACCTCCACCAAAGCCACCTCCGAATCCTCCTCCCTTCCCTGAACCTATGAAGGCTTTCTCCTCATCATCCTTGCTTACACTCACTACATTCCTCGCAACCACATTCGCTACCAAAACACAAAGGCAAAACAAAGATAACAAAGCAACTTTCCTAGTTCCACGTACCATTTTCCTACTATAGTATACAAAAGGAGCTAACTCTCAGTTGATGAAAATTTCAAAACTCCAAGAGGGTTTTTATAAGCCCTTTATTTTAATTAAATTTTCACAACTACTAACCGCCCACTTCGTCTATTTCATAAATGCTCTTATAATTATGGCCACACTTTTTTTTTCTTCCCTGGATTCGCAGGCCATAAGCTAAATTACAAATAGTTTCATTGGACCAGATCTGGCAGTACTGACACCCATATACATGCACCCACATGACTTATAATTTTCAGTTTGCTTTATATACTTTAGAGGAGAATGAAACTATTTTTGCTTCGAAAGCACTAGAGAGTTTCTTTACTTGTGTAAACCAACGGCTCAGAAACTTGGTTCCAATTTACTAGCAGACTAGAGAAAGTTGTCAGGATATTCCGGTTCAATCGGTCAATCCCATCCCATCTCGACGATTACTGTTACTGATGTCATTGCTAGTACTACTATCATTTACTATCAATGTCTTTACCTAAAATCACAATTGACATTTATGTCACAAAAAAAAATGTTACTTTGATACAAACTAGGACAGAGCTGGCTAGCAAGTAGAAACACGTTCATGTATTTCGTTACACATTAATTGATTCTTGGGAAGGCTACTATAGCTTCACATAATCATACATATAAACATATATATGTATTTAGAATGATCAAATTTTCGGTCTATCCATACAATTAGAGACGGATCCGAAATTGGACACGTTTACTTGACTTGAATCTTCACCACTAACCACTTTCAAAGAACCTTAAAGAGAAGAATAAGCCACATTCTCTTGTTTTTTTGAGAAGTCTTATGTGTGTTTATATATATGGCAAAAAAAAAAATTAATTATCTCATCAATAACCATGATTAAAATCTCTTTCCAAAGTTGCGACAGAAATCATGGATTCTTTATTCAATAGATTATTGCATGTCGAGACCAAAACCAAGACATCGGTAAAAGTCCTAAAAACTTATTAAAAAGAAGAAGATTGTCAATGAAGAATTATGGGCGTACATTCACAACATGTTTATTAATATTCTAAATCTTGATAAATTAATATTTGAAGAGTATCGCACATGGCCCGCACATTAAGTTAAAACAAGAGAAAGAGGGAAAAAAAAAAAAAACGAGTATCACTCCCATGTGCATGGTAGATGAAGAATTCATTGCTTCATGTAGAAAAAAAATCTTTCTCTTTTAGAAGACATTAACTCCCCCATCAAACATTCAATTATTGAGTTTGAACGTAGCTCCATTTCATATATAGAACGAACATGTGATGTTCCTTGTTCGTGATAATCTTCAAAGTCACCATCGAAATCGATCATTTACAAATATATACAGATAAATCTCTGACCAAACCCTGAGACTTACTAGAACCGACGTTCTAATGGTGACATCGGCCTGCTGACTAGCTGGATTTTTTTTTTTTTTGTGTGTGTGTAATTAAGCTTTAAATAAAAAAAGAAAAAGAATTTATGATATAGACAGCTAACCTATCACAGGACAAACCACTGTAATAGGATCAAAAATAAAAAGCTAACTAAAACAAAAGAGTTACATAAAATACTATCTCTTATTGCATCTTATCACATAACAAATCGTGGGTTAGGACAAAGACAAAAATCTATACAAGACCATCTCCAAAACATACATATATAAGACAACCATCACTAAAACAAAACCAACCAACAAAAATTCACCCTTTAAAAAAACACATTGGTAACCCCTAATCCTGAGCAAGACTCCTAGTACTAATGGTTCTCTTCATCTTCTTAATTCATTAATAGAGAATTGAAATATAAGAAATGCAATTAAGAAACTTAATGAAAAGATTGCTTCTATGAGAGCTGATAATGCAGGGACCTTTTTCACAGATGTGTCATAGACTCATAGTTCTGTAACAGTCCAAAGCTAGAGAGGATATTATAAATGAGGTTAGATTACTCCATATGTATACATATTAAATGTAATTGTAGCAATTAACTTAAACAACCTATAATGAAACATGCTAAATGCAATTAAATTAAGGAGATTATAATGGTGTAAGAGCTGTTAAGACAATAACAGAAAAGCAAATTATTCCCTTTAAATGTGATCCTCTTTTATATATATAATATTTTGGATAATTTAATCATTGGTGAACTAATTAATAAAACAAGTCTTTGTTGATTTAATACATATGATCTCATGTCATAATCTTAGTTTAGACGATAAAGTCCAAATTGGTCCCATGCACCGTTTTCTTTGCCAGACATATCTTTTCGTTGATTAATTGGATATTGAATTTGGAAGGTGAGCTATTAATCTGACAAGTAACACTCATCTCAGCTACTAAATTAATGAAATAATTAAATTTATTAACCTCCTAGTAATTAATTCCACCTAACTTACGTAGTTTTTTTTTTTTTTCTGTACAAAAAATTAGAAACATCCAAATAAGTACTTTAATATATATGTATCTGACATTTTCTATATACAAATTTTAACTTTCAAATTCGTTTGTATTTCAATTGTAATGAAAAAACCCGTTTACTACTACAGAAATTCCAATTCAAGGATCGCGCATTAGGCCATCTCCTGATTGCTACCTGTCAAACATTTGTTCAAGAGTTACTTACGGCGGCCACGGAAAGAATATTCCAGGACAGTGATAATGAAGACAGACATTAATGAAATTATTGATCCAGAAGGTTGGATAGAATGGAATGAGAGTAAACTTGGACTTAGCACTTGTTATTATGCAGAGTATTTAAATACAGGGTGATGGTGCCTTTACTAAAGATGGAGTGAAATGGCCTGGTTTTCATGTGCTTAATAATTCCCAGGAACCTGAAAATTTTACTGTGACTAAGGTCTAAGTTCATTCAGGGGGAGACATGGATCCCAGAGACTGGGGTGCCATTTTGGCCTAGACTTTAAAAGGGATTCTGCACTACTGCTTTGTATCAGATAACATGCATATGTTATGCAATAGTGGCTCTATTTTCTGAGTTGCGACTAAATCCCATAAGTTTTTTTTCTAGTTAACTGATGGGAACATTTGAACATTTGAATGGAATGGTCTACTTTGTATCTGACATTTTCTATATACTAGTTCCGATGTCATATTATTTAAACCATAATTCTCTAAGGTTTGTGGTGTTTTGAGGTTGTTTGGTGGTGTGTTGGATGCTGGTTTGAAAGCTTTGAAGCGTGGTTGGAGAGGTTTTCAGTTGGGTGGTTTGGTGGAGGTGTGTTTTGGTCTTTTGGGGGTGTTGGTAGTTGGATCCTGTTGTCTTTGAAGCTGACCAGTTCGCCAAGTTTTCAACCTGCTGCGTGCTGTGATTGGAGTGCTGCACAGTCACTGCTGTTTTCATTTGGGCTGGTCTTCCTTGAGGTTTCTGCATAGCTGGTGACTGCTGGTCCTGGTTGGTGATGGTGGCTTGATGGCTAGTTTTTGTTTTAGATTTTTCTGCTGGTTGTGAGCTGTTTTAGGCTCGTTTTGGTTTTTTTTGGTTTGTTTCGGTGCGTGGTGGCCTGTTATGGCTTGTCCCTCTTTTGTTTTCTTTGATGGTTGCTGTGTTTTTCACCTCTTGCTTGTTTCAAAGGTGCTTGTTCGGGGTTGTTACTGTTATTTGGTGACATTCTTTATTCTTTATAAAATTACCTCATTTACTAAAAAAAAAAAAAAAAAAAGTCTTGAATATGAGAAGAAAAATATGATACAAAATAGTATTATATAATTAGGGAATACATGAAATTTTTAGAGATATTTTTAAAATAGAAAATAAGGCAAGTCCTTGGACATTTTATATATTCAAATAAAAAAAAACAAACAATATTGAACTTTTCATTGGACAAGCAGTATTAGTTTTAAAAGCTAGCATATTAAATAACCCTATTAATTGTATACCAAACTTGGAAAAACATTTATACAGTTCTTATGTATAAATTAATTTTACATAAAATATCCAATATTGCTAATACTTAAATTGATGGAGCCATAACCGGATAGAAATAGAATCAATTGAAATATCAGTTGAATTTTTTTTTTTTTAAAATACATTTGGACTAATGATTTTTTTTTCATTTTAGAATATGTCCATTTCACATTGCTAGATTTTCGTTTTTGAAAAGGATAATAATATTAAAAATATAAATGAAGCCAATTTATATTCAATAAATATATAAGTTAAAGACATATACCCCCTAAGGTATGATATAATAACAACAATTTCTTGAGGTTTTTAAAATAACAAAACTCCCCTTGTCATTAGTGAACCTTTAATAAGCCATTAGAATTTACACTTTTATTAGTGGATAAAACGATAAAGGGATTTTTATTATTTTATCAAATCTTGGGAGGTTCATGTAATTAACTCTAAATACAAAGAGGGACCAAAATGGTCATATAAATTTTATGGCAACGTGCAAAACATGGTGTGGATGTCGGACAGGAGGAGCAGCGGGCCTTGGATCCCCTCAAATTTTTGATGATTTTTTTTTTTTTTTGACTCATAAACAGTATTAGTTTTAAAGAAGATATTAAAATCTATAAATAATTTTAATTATATACCAATTTATGTTTTAAATTGTGGCGAAATTTGTGTTACAAACTAATATTAAATATTTAACGTCACCTTAACTCTAACGAAGACAGGCAAGTTTCTATGGTAGATTATTTATTTGGATTTGGATGAGAATTATCTATCTAATCATTATCGGGAAAATTACAAGTTAGTTCTGAAGTTTGGCCAAAGTACCTTAGGTCTCATAGAATTTCTTATAACACTATGAGCATAAAGATTGTCTTACTAAAAGTCTAAAAACACATTCTATAAGATTAAAATAATACTTACGCCAAAGCCTCAGGGACGAACTTGTAATTCTCCATCTTTATCTAAAAGTGTTAAATCTTATCAAAAGCTATTTTAAGTGTCAAATATAATTATAGAGTATTAATACTATTATGTATATGTGATAAAACGTAGAATAAAATATTATGATGTATTGTACAGATATGA